TATTGTTTTGGTGTAACTGAGTTGAACTGGAAGGACACTTTGAATCGTATGCGCAAGGATTAATTATGTGAAAGTAACTATCCTGTTGACTTAACATTTTCTTACCTAATACCATCAAGGAAGTGTAGTCAAATTGGGTTTGAGATTCTTATAGATGTTACCATGAACAGAACTATCTTCTGGGCTGTGTTGCCATGTAGTCAGTTGATGTTTTAGATGAACATATTCATGTTCACGGTGTGAGATATGCTGAGTGAACTACATGGCAAGAAGCAGGCAGCTTGTGTCTTGCTCATTGATTCAATCCCAAAGATGGAGACAGAACATTCCTCCAAAATAACTGTGAACTTGTTTCCGACACTGCATCATCATATCCCAGAATATACTAAGCTTAAAAAGTGCAGTCACTTTCATTTGTGATGGTACATCATAGCTGCTCCTTTCCGGCTTCACAAGACATGGATGGCTAAGTACCATTCAGTTTCAGTTCTGTTATACTTTGGAGAATCTTGAATTTTCCAGAACAGATTTTATATTTTTGTTGGGCTATCATAGCTCAGGCAGTTAGGGTAGCAGCCCAGGTCACGTCACGTGCGATTTATGGTGGCACTGAGGAAGGTTTTCTTCAAGCACTTAGGTTTCCCCTGCCAATTCTTATTTCACAATCATCATCTATCATTCAGGGCTGGTACAGTAGGCAAAATAGTGCCTGACATGCCAAGTGGACTCAGTCTCACCCTGCTCCAAGAAACTAAACATGTTTTTGCTTCTCTTTGCAGGCAGAAGCTTTCAGAACTGGATGAAATTACGCAGAGATTAAAGAAAAGGTTGCATTTTGTAACAGATGAAGGTTCTACTCAATCATTCTTAACTCAGATACAAGAAACTGAAATCTCCTTCAGGCCTGAAACAGCCAGTAACAATATATCAAATACAGAGGGGAGCAAAAATTTGAGAGGTGAGATATCACCCGAAAATGAAGGAAATTCAGACCTTGGCAGTACAGTTGCAAATTCTCCAGAAGTTACAGCAGGTTCCAAATATTCAGAAGACCCAAATAATAGAGAAAGTGTACATTTTAAAGTTGCAAAAGAAAACTATAAAATACCTCAAATTTCCTCTCAGAAGTATGAAAATTTTAAAAATAGCATGGTGTATTCATTGCCAAGTAATAATTTTGTTTATATTTCAAGTACTAATTCTTATCCACTACCACAAAGTAATGTAAGCAACATTCAGGGTTATTTACCTAAAAGGAGTGAGAATCATGTAGTCAGGAGGACACCAGTGAATCACATGAGCTTATTGGCAAATGCAAGTTACCCTGATGATTCCAGCAGCTGCAAGAAAATCTCTTCACATTTAAGAACACAAGGAAATCAAATTCATAATAATTGGAATGAAGGTGTTTCCAAAACTGTATCAAATGGAACAAGTGGTGAACAAGAAATGAGGTCAGATGCTGAGGACACAGATGATTTTGACAAACTGACAGATTACCTGATGGAAACATCTGCTAGAGAACTTGAATTGGAAAATGTGTTCAACCCCCTACTCTTTCACCAGTTATTGAGCACGTGCAATGAAATGTACATTTCTGGTTTCAATAAACAACATCATGTTGGGTGCCATCATGTATCGTCTCAAGTCAGGAGCAATGCACAGCCTAACAAAGATTCAGTGAAGATTTGCAGTGATTATGATGATACAACACATGCGGATATGGAAGTTGATGTTGCAAGTAGCGAGCATTTAATGTACATTCTTGAAGAAAATACACATGTTATGAATGATAGCTTGTGTATCAAGAGTAATGAAGGAAACCATCGTATGAATGAAGCTGGAACAATGGAAAGAAATGTTGGTATGACAAAAGAGAATAGAACTCAGTTTCACACAGATGGTGAAATCATGGCTAATGTTTCATCTGCATCAGACATGAACTTGATGTCAGCTGTGGAAGTAAGTAATATGAACCAGTCATCTTCGTGTGATATTTCATTAGACATAGTTGAGCAGCAATACACTATAGGTGACATAACATGTTCATGTCTCCCGTGTGTGTGTCTGAATTCTAAACATGAAACAGGAAACAGAGCCATTTCAGAATTGCAGGTCTCACACACAATAGGGAACAGTATCAGTGCTCACCCCAGGACCAGTTCTAGCAGTGATGTCGCCTTTTCTAATTGTTCAGTGAATAAATTAGAATCTTTGCATGGTGAAGACTTAGATGAAAACAGTCAAGAAACAGCATTTGTATTAAGGCAGGCTCCGGAAGGTGGGAATACAATGGAAGAGAAGAAAACTGTGAATGCGAAGGCAGTTTTAGAGGGTCCAGTAGAAATTTTCAGGATAAGCAAACCATTTCATTCAACAGAAGGACAAAAGCAAGGAGAGAACATTTGTACAAACTCCAGAACTTCTTCGGTTAGAGATGAGGAATGTCTGAATAATACATTTCTGAGACCGACCCAATTGACTCCATCATGTTTCAAGGTAAGATTAATCTCTTATAAGGAAAATAATAATACAGACTTATTTAAACAAGCAGGTTGGTCTAGAGGTAACTCTGTAGACCTACAGTTTGGAGGTGCACAGTTTGAATCTGGCCTGGGATGCCAGCTATCCTGGATGAGGATTTTTGTGATTTTTCCCAGTCCCTCCGAGCAAGATAGTTCCATGTACTGTGATTAGGCCATGACTGCTTCCTGCCAAATCCTTTCACAGTCATGATTCATCTCTCATACTACCATCCAGTGCCATGTGGTCTCAGTTCTGAAAGCATTGTTAAATAACCCACAAAAAACAGACTTATTGATAACATTCCATGCTGAGTGGTAATGCTCTAAACTTTTATCCAAGAGGCGTTCATTTCAAATCTTGGTTTGGACACAGGCTTAGTAAGTTTTCTTTTGTCCCTGCATTCAAATGCCAAAGTAGTACCTAGATTAGGCAACGGCCGCTCCCTTTCAAACCCTTTCGAATTCATCAGTCATCCTATCATTTAACGCTATGCGGTCTAAATACAGACAGCAACATGAAATAACCCACAAAAGAAATGATGCTCTGTAGGGCTTAAAATGCTTTGCCAGTTGTGACTATTGTGAATATAATCTTATGTATTGGAAACAGAAAAATTAAGTTCAGGTTGAAAGACACTTGTATACAATGCACATAACTGTTATCAAAGAAATATACATACAGTACAAAGAGGATGAACATGGGATATGGATGCTAGTTGGACAGTTTCCCTCACAATACTAATTTTCCAGCACATCAGAAAATGTCTTGCTACGTAATATCGGAATTCCACCCCAACTGAAGCTCTCTTAGATTCCCTTCTTTTTGCTGAGTAATTCAGTTGCAGGTCTTGTTATTTCATATTTCTCACAAAATAAGAGACTGTTCTGCAGCCACCCAATGGAAGGCAAATGACAGCATTTTTGTTTTACGGTCTTGGTCTTTATTGTTATGGAAGTGAGATAAGATGATAGTTTCTGAACCTAATAATAGGAAACATTTACTGACTTAATCTCCTTTTTATTCTAAGACTATGCTTTTACAGTTTTAATGATCTTGTTAACATTTGATTTGATGTTTAAACATTTTGTGGGTAGTCTACAGAAGTGACATATACCACTTTGTATGTTTGGGGTATATTATAAGAAGGTTCCTTCTGTAGAAGTGGTTGAGGCCATGTATTTTCACATACCCTATTGGCATCAAGTTGCCAGTTGATTGTTCTCTGTTCATGGAAACATGTGGTGACTGATCCCATTATGTGTATAAACTTTTTGTATACAGTTTGCCTTGTCATTTTCAGTGCCATGCTTCGTAGCAGTTTTTTGGTGCGAGTGAGGCAGCCTTGTACATGTATAAGGGTCTGCAGAAATGTAATGCTTTGGATTTTTTTTTTTTTTTTTAAAAAACAAATCCTGCAGTGGTGCAAACTGCATTGCAGAAATTCAGATAGACTTACCCACATTCTTGTTTCAAGTTTCATAGTCCTGCCCCCCACACACACTCTCTCTCTCTCTCTCTCTCTCTCTCTCGGAATTACAGCCATTATAATGATTCAGTGTACAAAGACAGATGCAGTGCAGGATACAGCATATCCTATATCATAGTAAGGCAGCATGTGCTACTGCATGCTGTTATGTTTTATTTGAAATCTTACACTGCTGCATTCCAGCCTTTGTTGGGAGTAGGATTAAGATCTGTTTCTATACTTTGTGAATAATGCTGTTCTTTTTTCCAGCATAGGAATGAGTCAGGTGCTGAAGGTACAGAAATGGACTTGCTGAAGGAGCAGGAGAGAAAGAAACAAATGCATTCTTTAATAAATGCGGAGAAGATACAACATGTTGCGAAGATTTTTAACACTAATTTGGCGACTCAAAATATTTGACATACACTATGCTTATTTAATGTATACATCCCACATTTTATATGTTTCATTCCATTGCAGCTAAACCAGGACGTAAGTTTCATTGAAACATTTCCTGTAATCTCTTGTACTTGAATTTTACCTTCACTCTTTCCTATCCCATTTTACTTGACAAGACTGACTACCAAGTTGCATTACATCAGTGTTGCACAAAATGTGATTGTGACGCAGGACAACGTGCAATTTACAAATATACTGTAGCATGTAGACCGTTGCTGGGTCACGGTTGTGAAACGACACCCATCGCTAAGGCAGCAGATTCTTAATAAATGGGGTTATGCAACCCATTTCTGGGCAACAACTTGGTAAAAAGATTCCCACAGCAATTGACATAAATGCAACAGTAGAAAATCGGCGTTTTCTATGTTCTCCATGCAGGGAAAATATAATGAGGACAGTCAGATGGATTTGACAGTTTCGAAATCCCCCATAACTTTGGTGATGACTCTTGGTTCCTTTTTGGTACTATGGAACTCAAAGTCTTCTTTGATAACATTTTTCAGTAGCCTTTGCAGCTGAATCAGGTTGATCTGTGACTTTAGTATTATTGGGGGCAGCCTACCTGCTTTACCAGGGACTGCCTCCTCCAGTGTTGTGGCCTCAGCGCCCGAAGAATTGGTGTCCATAATTGTTGGCCTGAGAAGGGCGAAAAAGTTGTGAGTGGTTACCTCATTAGTGGGGGTGCTTGCGGCAGCAGCCGCCTTTTTTCTCTTTTATATTCAGGGCAGTCTCGGTGGTGTTGCACCACTTGCGCCTCCAGACTTCTTTGAAGCCTTCCTGCTGGGTTGGCTTTTCATTTTCTGTTGCTGCGGTGCTGGTCTTCAGAAGGGTCTTTAATTCATTCAGTGTAACTCCATATGTCCCATACAGGACGCCGGAGAGAGCCTTGTCTTCAGCAGCGCTGACTATTGATATCTTTTTGGCATGCTCCCCGACCACAGACTTTAACTAACTTCCTGTATATCTGCAACGGAATACTGCCTTATCAGCACCTGGTACTCAGACTGTAGTGAGGCACATTTGTCTGCCCAAAATTCCTGGTCCCCTGGCACAGGGACCACTACAAACTTTATGGGTAAATCACAACTGTCACTAATTGATTTTCCCCCCTTTTTCATCAATTATTCAGTCTCTAAGTTTCTTCTTTCTCCACTCCAAATCTGTCCCTAAAGCATTGACTCTCATCTAACCGGTGAGCTGTAGCCTCTACCCCGTCCACCTTCACACCAACTGAATAAGATCATCAGATAAACATCACTGTGCAACAATCAAATTGAACTCCCTCCATTAACTTGACTTCTTAGGAATTCCAGCCTCTTTTATAAATCCTCGAACAGACACGGCTGTAAGTATATGTTGCTGTCTCGTCAACAAAATGCAGGGCAAAATCATGACATACAGATAGGTAACAGATATTTTAAAAATGTGGCACAGTTCAGATATTTTGGAATGACTATAACAGATCGAAACTTGATTCAGGAGGAAATTCAGGAGAGTGAACTTGGGTAATGCTTGCTGCCATTCTGTCCAGAACCTTTTGCCTTCTTGTCTGCTGTCTAAGAACATAACAATTAGAAAGTACAAAACTACTACTGTCACATTGTCTGAGTTGCCCAATCTTGCTGGACCATGAATGTTTGATACAGCTCCTCTTCCAGAGCCTATACCTCCTTGTTGGCCACATTTAATTCTGCTTCTAAGTTGTCCTTGGTGTTAGATTCAGCCTGACTTGCTTGCATCCCTAACTCGATCTTATTTTGTTTTATTCTAATTCACCAGAAGAATCCATAACCTTGACTTTTCTTGTTTTGCATCATCATGCTCATTATATTCTTTCATTCTTTTATTTAAACATACGGATTGCTTCATGCAACACATCTTCACAAACTAAGTCTGAAACAGTGACTAGGTATGAGTTTTTACTGATAATTGCATTTAGAACTCGTAACTGCAGATTATTATAATGCTGTTACTAATTCACACACTGTACAAATCACTGCAGTACCTGCTGAGTCTTCCCAATCTGCTGTGCCTTCAAGTGCCCGTTGTTTAGTAGCAGCTCACAACAATGGAGATTCCTTTGCGTCCTTGTTTACGTCCTTGCCAACTGGCACTCGGCTGCAACTGCTGTCTGCTGACTTCCAACGATGACAACCTAATTGTCAGCTCTGACCTCTGACTCAAGATTGGCTCACCAACTGATTCACTGCTGAAGTCAATTTCATATTATGACTGATGGTCAGTCAGCCAGTCAGTCATGGAGTGAAGCCCCATGTGGGGCCCAAGACCAAATTTTTGTCACTGTGGGGCGCCCTTTCTGATCAGAGCACACATCAGGCATAGTCAGCAGTGCATGACATCTATATTTATAATTTTACATGTAGGCATTATGCACAGTCTTTTGGCAAGAGTAATATTGAATGCTACAACTTCTAGGGACCTGTGAACTCTGGCATCCATTTTGCTTCACGAGTTTTAATACAATTTTGTGATGGCCATTATTCTGTCTTCTGACTCAGCCCCATTGAGCTCTGTTATGATCTGCTGAAATACCTTTGTGACTACTCTGAATATGTCATTCGGAGATGAACTGTTTATTTTGGGAGCCTGAGCTGACTGACTTGGTACTTGTTGTTGCTTCTACTTCAAGGGAGGGGGGGTGTGGTCCTGTACAACTGAGGGCAGCTGAGGCTGCTGCTGTTGCTGTGTTTTGCTGCATAGCACTTCCACAAAGGATGATAGTCCAGGGTGGTGTGGCTGGAAGAGGACCTCCTTCCTGTTTTAGTCCTGGGTGCTCTCTGCGACTCTCTCTTTCACATCTCTTGGCATGCCTGTAGCCTCGATAGTTGGAGGGATGAGGTTACTGTCCGGCCACTAACTTGCAGATGCAGCATGTTGGTATCGATGCCATATTGCCCTTTTCTGAGTAATACTGCATGAGACTGGGATTTGTATATCTCTGCCCTGATTGCAATGTGGCAAAGGCTTATCAGTTCGAATATCTCCTGGGACATTGACATCCTGGATAAGGTTATGAGGAAGAGGAGGAAGGTTTACTGTGGATGATCTTTCTGCAGGTGATCGATGGGTGGCTTACATTTGTTTGATGCTGTAACATCAACGCAAAGGTTTACCAACCCATCTGAGATGCCCATTGCTGGAGTGGAGAATGGAAGATGCCATATCAGATCCTTCATAGGCTTCTGGGATTTGGGATAGATGGTGAAGTATCGGAGGTTATTGCTTTCAGAGTAAGAGTGGACAGTTGAAAAATCCCCCATTTTGAGACAACTTTGGTCCCATTTCTGGTGCTACAGAACTCGGATTTATTGACCACATACAGGTCATAAGTACAAGTAACTGTAACAGGCTCACTGGTTTACATGCTCTAAAAATCACTGTAACTGCACATGCTGTCTTTCTCAGCCTGCACTGTCTTCACCATTCTTTTCCTGGTAATGGCTTTCAACGGCGGACATTCCCCTTACTTCAGTTTCCTGAATTATACCCGCGCATCAGCTACCAGCTTCTAAAAGGAACAGCTCACAACTACTGAACTGCAGTAGTCCTCTGACTAACTGACTGCTCACCAACCAACTCACTCCACTGTACTCCACTGCACTCACTGAACTTGGTTGGTCAAGTCAAGTAGTCTCAGAGCAGATCCACAGAGAAAGCTGCTTGCAACACTGCTTTTATTGCTGTGTGATGTCACTGTGTATGTGGCATGTTCCTCTACTGTGTGTACGGACCATTACCTCCATGCTACAGTATCATGTTTGCATTACTCTAAATATGATATATAACTTATACTAAATGCACTAACTTTCTAGTTATTTTTCTTTGCCTTTCACTTTGCATTAGCTCATTCACAGGATTCATCTACTGTCTTATTTCCTGTGATGATACACATTATACAGAGAGATTTTTTCACACACTGCAGCAGAACACTGAACAGCTACCTTGTAGCAAGCTTAAGATTGTGTGGCAGCTGACATATACACCCCAAGCCCTGGCATGGCACTATATTTGGTCCGTATATGAGCATTCACTAAGCCATGTTATTTCCTGTATCATATGATGTAATTCTGCCCCTCTTAAGTGAATTTGGTGGCATTCATTCTCTGGGGAATAGTTGCACAGCGACCTTTCTATTTCTGGCAGTACCTGTACCTTTATTACAACCAATTTTTTAAGATTATGCAGTCACCATGAAAATAAGATACCAATACAAGGTAACCTCCAAAGCTACACTTTTCTGTGGGAAGATTTAAAGGTCAAGTTAGTACATAAGAGAAAGTATGACCTAGCAAATATTATTAAATCACAGCAGTTCTAAACAGGTTTTTCTTTTCCTCCCACCTTCCTTCTTCTTAATCTCAGTGGTCAGCATATTGTGTTGATCAGCCCGTGTGGAGGCAGATTCGAATACATCCACTGTATCCCTGTGAGTTGTAGGAAGCAACAAAAAGGGAACCAAGTGCCTGGGGGGATATAAATATGGGGACCTGACCCTCCAGTTTTGGGGAGTCCCGTATCTGAGGCAGTAAAATATGGTCATGAGTCCTGTGGGAGTCAGACCTGAAAATGACTGTGCTGGCAGTGGCAGACCCATCTTTTGTCAGATAGGACATTATGTAAGGACTGTGACCACGAGGGTTCAGCTGGAAAAAAAAATCGCTTGTCATGAGTCTGAAGGGGCTTGATGCCAAGACGAACTGATTAGCACTAAAGTTCCAAACTTCCAGCCGTAAAGTAACTCTGACTCTCTGATTGTCTCGATCCTGTCAAATGTTCTACATACATATCTCGACTCCATTGAATTACGTCTGTGCACATCAATCGTCTCATGAGTGGGCAGCAGTGGAGTTGAAGTTAATTATGGGATCCATCCAATGCTCCAGTGATAAAGACATCCATAAAGACACTATGCTTGTCAATACTGGTCAGCAATGTGGTCATACTTAGTCCTTCTCTTGTTCCTTATGGCTTTGAATGTGGGATAGCGATTTTCAAAGGGCATATCCACATAAGTGTTTGCTGTGGTCTTCTGCACCCCATTGATGGTGAGATTCAGCTGAAGTCCATTGTTGAGTTCGGAAATAGTTCAGTTCACTTGAACATTGGTTCCAATTGGTTGCATGAAAGCCTTCACTAATCACTTGAGTGCAGCATTATGACAGTGAGTAAGAGTGACAAGGTGTGGCTTACAGTGATTCAGGATGTGAGGTTAAAGTCTTCTTGGCATGTCTCATCTTCGGCATCGCTGGTCCTCATTTCCAAAACAGTGAGTTCCTCTGAGTGGCACACAGCTGTTACGAGCTCGCTGGCTGAAGCACCATTGCACAAACCAAGTGAAGTCCCCATTGTGCATGAAGTGGATTGGTGGCATTGAGACACACATTTCTTAGTAAACTTTGCCCTAGTGCAGCTTGCCCAGTTATTTTCATCTCTAATGGTCTCATAGAGTGTTCTGTAGGACATTTCTGGTATCCTTCAGTAGCAAGATGATGCCTTTGATTTGGAATTTTGGTCACTAACTAGCACCCAGAGCCCATTTCACACCCACTTTCCTTCAAATTTGTCTGGTTGCCAATCGAAAATGGAAATTAAAAATGTTAACTAATATGCTGAATTTACATACAGGCTTGGTGGTCCAGTAAAAGTGAATAGAATATACTGTAACGTGTTTTGTCTACTGAAGATGGCTTTCGGATTGTTAATTGGTTTTATTAACAACTTACAAGTCACAACTACAATTTATGACACTCTTGCGAGTCCACACACTGTACAAACCCTACACACTAATCTCTTCATGCTATCTTCAGTATAACACGCGTTCCATTTTTCTTGTTCCTGTGGCTGTCTCACACTCACTTCAAATGATCGCTGAATACTAACTGACACTGTCTTCGGCGGCTGCTACATTTTAACTAACGCCGAACACTGTCTCTAGTCACTTGATACAACTGAACTCGGTGACTGCTATACTTCAACTCAGCCAAATACTCCAAATACTAACTTGCTTTGGCAGCTGGTACACATACATTTCAACTGACTCCTTAGTAAAGTCAAAGTCACGTTGCGACTGACGGTCAGTCTGTCTGTCTGTCTGTCTATCTTGGTGTCGAGTGCAGGCTGGGGCTCATGACCAGATGTTTCTTTTTAGATGAAAGTTACTGTCCTGTCCATATGGGGTGCCCTCTCTGACGAGAGGTTGGGTCTGTCATTTGTCAGTCATAGTCGATAGTATTAGTCCATTGTCACTATGTACACTTACAATTTAGCCTTAATATCTAGCATTTATAATATCTACAAGGCCTCTGTCAGTCTAGGCTCAGCACAGCAGACTATGCCCTATTTCTAGTAGTATTTGCTACCGTGGCAGTCTAGTCACTTGAATGGTCGTATGCCTGACCGCCGCCAATTTTAAGCCTCTTACACTTTCTGTGTTGGGCTTCGCCTTGTTTGATGTTGCGAACATTCTCATCATGATTTTTTATGACTTCTGCTTGTTGCCTGCATAATTTTGTTATATGACTCCTTAGGTATTCCAGTCTCTCTTATGAACCCTCAGTCGGACAATGGAAAATGCAGCTTGCTTCACTATTGTGTGACACCATGTTTACAGAGGCGTTGCTTGGCAACGCTGCCGAGAGTTGTTTAATGCTGCGTACCAACCAGTGCGCTTCGACTCGGCACGGCACGTCACGGAGAAACACCGCTTTCCTTACTGTTGCGTAACTTGGCAACAGACTGTTTATCAAGAATCTGTCTTCGTGGTAACTTGTTCCACATCCCGTTTCCCAACAGCGGTTTGGCATGTCACAATACATTATTATATATTTGCAATTCTGTATTAAAAATGAATAAGAATTAATTATTATATTATAACATTAAAGTTGCACATTTCATAAATTATTTACATCATTTGTTTTTACTTCCATTGGACAATGACTTTTCATGTAGAATTAATTGTTGAATACACAACATCTGGTTTATTTAAGAATAGTAAAAAAGACACACTGTAATGCAATTTGGAATGGCAAAGACATGACAAGTTAAGTTAGCATCCAGGAACAGAGGAAAAATATAAAATAAACTTAGTAGGCAATGTTTTGTGTTAACTTTTTACTTATGGATACTTTGATTCTTATCTTCATTTTTGTACCGAGTCCGATGTTATTCTTACTCTCCTCTACTTGTTTGCTCTATATCTATATACCCTTATTCAGTCAAATGAATGTATGAAGTTTCACACTGTGTGTTAGTGTCAATCCTTGCCGCTTTTCCAAACTGTCACTTTCTCTTAAACTTGTATCTCTTCAGAGGCCTGAAAAACAATAACTCACTATAATTTTATAAATATTGAACCATTTAATACAGGATTAGGATATGACATTGCTGACCTTAACTTACACTTCCAATATATCGTACATGGAATCAAAGATGAGGTTATACCATGAAAACTGTTATTAATAGTAAGAGAACGTTGTTTGCACGGCTGAGCTCTTTGTATCACCCCAATGGTAACATATATCATCATATTGTGGCCTCTGTCATTATTTGCTCCCATGTAGTAGACCATTCGTTGATGATAATTTTGATTTAAATTGGAGGTGGGCTCACGCTGCCTTGTGTAGCCTCTTCTTGTGTACTACATTACATTAGAAAACTACTAAGTGAAATTACTGTTTGAAGTTTATTAATTTGTTAAAATGTTTAAGATTTTTATTTTCATAAAATTGTTCAGTACCTGATGTGCTGTGTGGTTCAGAGGGCTGGACTTTGACTGCACAATGCAGAAAATGAATTGAAATAGGAAGAAAACGTTTTCTTAGAGCAGTAGCATGGTTTAAACTGGTACAAGCAAGGTGTGTAATGAAGACATAAGATAAGAACTTCATATGAAATTGTTGCCCATTGTTGAGAAATAGTGGGAAAATTGATATGAAGGTCTTAGAAGAATGAAGAAGTAGAGGGTCCTGAAATGTGCATTGAACTAGGACCTTGGGAGAAGTTGAGGACACAAATGAGGTGGAACAAACAGTTTGCCTGGGAACAGGAGCAGGTGAAAGGCCTAAGCCAGAAGAATGATGAAAATGGCTGCATCAGTTAGGTTAAGTGACAGTCCTGAAAGTCTGAACATGAATTTTATCAAGACACTTATCTGTGTACATATATAGAGACAGGCTATGTTTCCATTCAAGCAATTACATGCTGGCTTCACTCATATTCTGTGTGTGATATGTGATAGTCCCAACCATCCAGCACACATCACAAACCTTGTCCCAAGAGGGTATTGCACCTTTGACCCAGTAGTTGGCCATGTAAGAAAGTTTATTTTTATTTATATACTAGTATATCTGGAAATGACAAACAGTCCAAAATTCGTGAATTTGTTAAGTTTCAGATTTCTGAATGTATGGTATAAATTATGTTACCATGGTAATACTTGATCCTTGTCTTCATCTAAAAATTTGCCTTTTCGGATGGGGAAATGTTGATTGAAGTACAACTCTTTAGTGTGTAGTTCACGGAGCTCATGTTGGTTCATCAACATAATTGCCGCTGTGGTGCCATTATGGTTATGCATGTGTGAACAATCACGTATTCTCTGTAAAGGAAGATAACACACACTGTGATGGCGTGATATATAGAAAGTCAAAACTCTTTTTTTATAAATTGACACCTACTGTTATTTCATGTAAGCATATTTGTCATATTTTGCATGTGATTTGATATCTCAGAGATGTACTTTTGGGAGATAATTTAATGCTAACGAAATATGTGATACTAATACAGCAGCCTATCTCATTGATGCACTTTTCAGATACAGGTATTTTATTTATTTTATGTCAAATTGACGTGTGTAGGTTAACAAGGATTTTATACATATCCGACAGATATCAGCAGGGAAGGTTCTGATATATCGAAACCTGTTAGCAATGGCAAAATGAACAATTGGGAAGACTAGTGTTTTTTAAATTTTAAACTACATGCAGTGTAGCAGCTACGTGAGAGTATACGCCTGATGATGGCTGTTTGCGGCTGAAACATGTAGTGTAGAAGGAAGCAAGACGAAAGAACTACAATAAATTGTTGCACTTAGGACGGAGTTTATGTCATATATTGTGTAGAGTGTAACAGGATGCTTAAATATAATATTTTATGTATGCTTGAGAAGTTCATAATATCTAATTTCCTGTCTGACAGAGTAGTCACTCTTCTCAACGAATGTCTAAAATTGAACATAAATTAAATGGAAACTTGTCTTCAGTGGCCAGTTTCTTTGGTCTCAAAAATAGAGACTGAAACTCAGTTTAAAATTACCTGTAAGAAATTTTGATTTGTAAGCATGGTATTAAATGTACAATAAAACAGTATATACCTTCATACTAAATTCAGTATATAACTCAGTTTGATTATTATAAAATTGTTTATCTTGTTTAACTTAAAGTCAATGGATATGCTCTTAAACCACATCTCTGAGGTTTGTTCAGCTTACCATCCACTCAATCAATTTTTACATGGTTTTGAAATATGCAGTATTGAATAGCATACAGGAATTTTAATATACATTGTTTGTAATGTTATGTAACACTGTTTTATGAAAGATTTAAAATTTTTCAGATTTCCTAAAATTATATACAATAATGGAAAATAACTTTGAGCTAGTTTGTTTTGTATTACTAAGTATGTACCCCTGAGGATGGCACTGTAAATGTTGAAACATATCAGGACAGTGATGTTATTAAACTAATTGCAAGAACTTGTATTGTAATTGACTGTACTGTGATAATAAAATTATCCCATTAGACCAATGACAAGTATTTTTTCTGCCTTCTCCTAATCGGAAGACAATTCCATGGCCATTCCAGGGAAATAAAAATTCTAGAATAGTAATAATCTGTAACAATTTGCCCAAGTTATTTTTGCACGTTCATGGAGTGTGTATGGAGAATGGTGGGAGGTCACCTGTCGTAGATACAGTATGATTCATTTGTTGTTATCAGCAAAAGGGGTATCTGTTTTAGATGCAGTATGATGCAACAACACCAGTAGTTGGTTGAGCTACTATGCTGCCAGCTGGAAGGACATTTGATTTTTCAATTGACTTCTTCCTTGGGGTTAAGGACAGCCAGCACATAAGGATTGACAACCTCATTGCCATCTGTGAGCCAACTGTTTAAAAAATGTGGGAGCCTCATTATCTCAGAACCCAGTGGACCTCCATGGCCTGTTACTGGGATAGATTTACCTTACTGATAGATTTATTTGTTATGATGATTGTTGTTCTTAGTAGTGATAGAAAATGGATATGAGATTTTGTACTTGGAATGTTAGAAGTATGTATAAGGCAGGGGAAGAAGAAATCTCAGACTCTCAAGATATTTTCAAAACAATGACCGAGAAGGAGAGTTTACACGAAATTAATAATGATAATGTAGTTAGAGTAGTAAACTTTGCCACGTTCAAAAATCTTATTGTCAAATGTACAATGTTCCCACAACACAACATTCATAAATTTACTTGAACATCTCCTGATTGAAAGACAGACAATCAGATTTACCATATTTTGATAGACAGGAGACGACATTCAAGTACACATGAGATCCGATCATTCAGGGCAGCAGATTATGATACTGACCACTATCTGGTGGTTGCAAAGGTTAGGGAAAACTGGCATTGATTAAATAGACAATGCACAGAATTCATATGGAGAGGTTCAACCTTAAGAAATTAAACAAGGTAGATGGAAGGAGCAGTATCATGGTGAAATCTCAAATAGGTTCACATCTTTGGAAAACTTGGACACTCAGGTGGATGTTAATAAAGCTTGGGAAACTGTTAGAGAGAATATCAAAATTTCAACCCAAGAGAACCTGGGTTATTATGTACCGAAGAAGCATAAGTCATGGTTCAATGAAAGATGCTCAAATTATTAGACCAAAGAAAACAAGCCAAATTGCAATGGTTACAAAGTGAAATAAATGGGGGAGGGAATATCTGAAAGACAAAATTGATAAGCTTTCAACACACAGTAAGAACAAGAACATTAGAGATCTATATTGAGGAATAAATTACTTCAAGAGGGGTTAGCAACCTAGAAGTAACTTAGTGAAGGTTGAGAATGGTGATCTGCTTGCAGATTCCCACAACATTTTGAATAGGTGGAAGAACTACTCTCAGTTATTGAATGTACATAGGGTCAATGATGTTAGGCAGATAGAAATATAGCAGCTTAGCTGTTAGTACCTAATCCTATCACTTCTGAGGTTGAAAGTGCTATTGCAAAATTGAAGAAGGTATAAATCACCAGGTAGTGATCAGATTCTGTCAGAACTGATTCAAGCAGGAGGTGGAATATTATGTTTAAGATTTATAAGCTAATTACTTCTATTTGGCATAAGGAAAAAATGCCTGATCAGTGGAAGGTGTCTGTTATTTTACCAGTTCACAAGAAGGGTGATAAAACTGACTGTAGTAATTATTGGGGGATATCACTGCTGTCAGCTTCATATAAAATTTTATCAATATTTTTCCCTCAATGATAAGTCCATATGTAAATTAAATTATTGGAAAACATCAGTGTGGGTAACAGATAAGCCACTGATCAGAGCTTTTGCATTCTGCAATAGGAGAAATGGTAGTACAATGAAACAGGACATAAGCTATTCGTAAACTTCAAGAAAGCCTATGAATCAGTTAGGAGGGAAGTATTGTACAGTATTCTTATAGAGTTTGGGGTACTCTTGAAACAAGTCAGACTGATTAAAATGTGTTTACATGAAACGTATAGTAAAGTCCATATAGGTAAATATTTGTCGGATTTTTCTATCTATAACGAACTAAAAATAGATGCTTTATGGCCATTGCTTTACAACTTTGCTTTAGAATATGCCATTAGGAAGGTCGAGGAAAACCAGGTGGGCCTGAAAGTAAATGGGACATATCAGTTGCTGGTCTATGCTGATGATGTGCATCTACTGGGTGATAATATAGATACCATAAAGAGAAACATGTAAACTTTAATTGACGCAAGTAAGGAGGTTCATCTAGAAGTAAACACAGAGAAAACTAAGTGTATGTTGCTGTCCCGTCACCAAAATTCAGTGCAAAATCATGACAAAGATAGGTAACAGATATTTTAAAAATGTGGCACAGTTCAGATATTGAGGAACGACTATAACAAGCCAAAACTTGATTCAGGAGGAAATTAAGAGGAGCATGAACTCGGGTGATGCTTAGTACCATTCTGTCCAGAACCTTTTGCCTTCTTCTGTCTAAAAACATAAAAATTAGAATATACAAAACTATATTTTTGCCTGTGGTTATGTATGGGTGTGAAACTTGGTCTCTGTCATTAAGGGAGGAACATAGACTGAGGGTGTTTGAGAACAGGGTGTTAAGGAGAATATTTAGACCGAAGAGAGATGAAGTGGCAGGAGGTTGGAGAAAACTGCAATGAGGATTGTCATAACTTGTACTCTTCTCCAAGTACAATTAGAATGATAAAGTCAAGGAGCATGAGATGAGCAGGACATGCAGTGTGAATGGGGGAGAAGAGGAATTCATATAGGATTTTGGTGGGAAAGCCAGAAGGAAACAGACCACTATAAAGACTAAGTCATTGGTGGGTGGACAGTATTAAAATGGATCTTAGGGAGATAGGATGGGATGGTATGGATTGAATTTATGTGGCTCAGGATAGGGTCCAGTGGAGGGCTCTTGTCAACATGGTAATGAACCTTCGGGTTCAATAAAATGCTGGGAAGTTCTTGAGTAGCTGCACAATTGGCAGCTCCTCTAGAAGGGCTCAGCTCCCTGAATGAGTGAGTGACTGAGTCGTTCTTGGTGCGTTATTTAATGATGCTTTCAGTATTGAGACAGTATAGCATCTGAAATAGGATGACTGATGATTTGGAAAGAATTTGGAAGAAAGTAGTGGCCTAATGAAGTTACTGTCCTGGATTTTTCCTGGAGGGTCTGAGTAAAACCACAAAAATCCTTATGGTAGCCCAGTGTCCCACATGAAGTTTGTACTGAGCAGCTCCAGAATGAAATTCTAGAGCCTTACTGCTAGACTGACCTGTTCTGTATTGTTATTGTTGCTGTAAGTAATAGTGTTGTGTTGGTATCATTAACAAATATTAACCTTAACTGCCCTGTTATGTAATACTGGTTCAATGCATCAAGTGTTAAACCAAATAAGTAACTATACAAACTCAGAGAAAATGAAAACTCACCCTATACTTATCCAAAATTAATTTTTCACTTCTAGTTGCATTCAAGTCCTCTTCAACTTTGCAACTTCTGCACAGAAACTGCCTCATATGTAAGTGCCAGTAGTCCCCATATGGCTGTTTCCCACATTTTGAGCACACATCCACATTCACAGGGCAGCATTTAACATCTGTACCAGAATCTGATACCTTATGACCTCCAAAACTGTGCCTGAACTGGATGGGCCTCTTTGGTGTACATGTGTTGTAAACTCCTACACTAAAAATGAAATGAAGATACACCATTACTTCTAAAATGTAACTTTCATAATGCATGTGCAGTTGACAAAATATAACCATTTTAACAGTCAGCAATCTGAATTGTTACATTTTCTCAAGGTCATGCAGCAAATTCAGGAGACAGGATAGGTCAGTGACTCAGTGTGTCTGGCTGGGTGACCGTGGAATCAATTCAGTTCAGTTCCCAGCGGAGTCAGAATGTTTTCCTTTTGCCATGTTGGCCTAGAATTGGGTTCACCCAGCTTCGTACCAAATCAGTACAGCGGGTTCTTTCCCCAGGCATAATGTGGCCAGAGCATTAGGCTTTCCACCCAAACTATACATCTACTACTTTTGGCATCTTACATGGAGGTTTGCGTTCTAAAGATGGTGCATATAGTCAGAATTTCCCCTTATAATTCCATAAATCGCCCATGATGTACATACACGTACTTTTGTATATCCCCTGAAATTATTATTATAATAATTACATGATGGAGTGACTATAGACCGGTTTTGGATAGGTAATCTGATTTTTTGGACGCCTTAACATACAACTTGTGACCGCAATCTAAAATTCACTATCACACACAGACTAGTGTTCACAGTCATGGCGTTCACTGTGCTGCTTGGCAACGTTATCCAACAGTGGATGTTCCTCTACTCCCAGGCTGGTGTCCATCTCAAACAAACCTCCTAGAGTCAGAGTTACTTTACGAGTGGCTGTTTACTTCAATCTGTTCGTCTTAGTGACAAGCACCTTGAAACTCACAAACAGCAATCATATTTTCTAACTGAACACATATGGTCATAGTCCTTATGTAACTTCCTCTCTGATGAGAGGATGGGTCTGTCATTTACAATTGCTGCTGGTCCTCACCAGCGCAGTTATTCTCAGATCTGAGTCCCACGGTGGGCTCATGACCACTTTTTACTGTCTCAGATTCGAGGTCCTCTGCCCCAACCAGGTCCTCATATTTATATCCCCCAGGAACAGGGTGAACAGGTTATACCCCCAGGCACTGGGTTCCCTTTTCGTCACGTACCATTTTGAAAACGCCAGTTCTCGTCCCACTTGAAGTCAAAGTCAAAGTAAAAATTGCTTTACTACTGGCAGGCTACTGCCAATCAGTTTGTCTTGACATCATGCCCCTTGAGACCAACGACCAGAGATTTTTTATCAACTGATAAGTTTGTTACAAAAATGTTTGAAAGCCCTGGATCTGGACAGATCCTCTGGGTAAACGACATAGGCTAAAGAAAATGGGTATGAGATTCTGTACTTGGAATGTTAGAAAAATGCATAGGGCAGGTTCGCTCAGGGCAGTGGCGGGATAAATCTCAAAATATAGGTTAGATTTAGTGATAGTACAGGAGGTCGGATGGGATGGAGGTGGCATTGAACCAGCAGGCGAATATACATTTTTCTATGGAAATGGGAATGAAAATCGTGAATTAGGTGTAGGTTTCTTCGTACATAAGAGAATCATATCAGAAATTAAGTGGGTAGAGTTCGTTAGTGATAGGATGTCATATTATATTTAAGCATCCTGTTGCACTTTATATGATATATGACATAACTACGTCCTAAGAAGTAGTGTATAGAGAAGAACAAGATGAAAGACCTATAAATATAGTTTGCACTTAGGACAGAGTTATGTCATATATAGGTTGTCATACAATACTGAAAGGTCGCTGGTGTGATATTCTTCTGAATGTTCGTGCCTTGTATTCTTCTCCAAGTATAATGAAAATGATCAAGTCAAGGAGGATGAGGTGGGCAGGGCATGTAGCACGAATTGGGGAGAAGATATTGGTGGTAGAGCCAGAAGGAACGAGACCACTGGAAAGACCAAGGCGTAGGAGGGTGAACTATTTTAAAATGGATCTTAGAGAGATAGGATGGGATGGTGTGGACTGGATTGATGTGGCTCAGGATAGGGGCCAGTGAAGGGCTCTTGTGAACGTGGCAAAGAACCTTCAGGTTCCATAATATGCTGGGAAATTCTGAGCAGCTGCACAGTTGGTGGCTTCTCAAGAAGGGCTGGGCTCAATGAATGAGTGAGTGAACTCTTGCGATTATAAACCTTATTTAATGTTCTCTGTAATGAGAAGATGGTATTGACTCTTATGAATATGCTTGGCTTTTCGTCAAGTGTACTTTTCGCACATATAGCATGTTATTGAAAATCCTTACTTTTGCACTACACAAGTCCTCTGTCAGTACAGGCTTTGCAGAGCAGATCATGCCTATCTTACGTATCTTATACTACAACGGCAGCTTAGTCACTTGGACGGTTGTAAGCTTGACCACCGCCATGTTTAAGCCTCTTTTATTCCTGCCTCAGTTCGTCTAACTGCTTTTAATATAACGTTGACATGGACCGCAAGAGAACACCGCTTCCAGCAGCTCTTCCATTCCGTACGTGTCGCGGCCATTACCTAGCAACGGACGTCTTTACAGAGCCGTTCCATAGCAACGGCCACCTCTGATAGCTCCACAATTCTGGCTTTCAGCAGACATGCCACAATATGTTATATAAAGTCCCTGTGCTTAATCAAGCACAACGCTATGAAGACGTATGGGTAGAAATAGCTCCACCATTCTTGATGACAGCAATAGACAGAAGTGAGTGGTCAACTTCACGACCTGTCCGCTTTACCCCCGGGGAAGGAGCCCCCGGTTGTATTGTGTAGGAGGCTGGGTGAGCCCCACAGCCGGTCTGGATGCTGTGGGTTAAAGAAGACTCTTGTCCCTGCCAGGAATCTAACATCATACTTCCAGCCCGAGGTCTTCGTTATACGGGCTGAACCATGTAAAAGTAAAATGCACAATAATTTTATTTTTAATTACATAAAAATAGGGACAGATGGAATAATGCAAGAATAAACAAGGAAAACAGTACACTGGTGGGGTAGTCTGGGCTTCTTGTCGATTCGAGAGATGCAGGGCAAGGCATGGGTGACGGAGAGCGAGTCGTGGAAAAATAGCCCGCCATATTTTTGGAGGTGGGAAGTGAATGTGTATGGTTGAATTCGCGGAAGTTAACTGCGACTCCACTGCATAGTCTTGGCACGGTAATTGTCATTAAATAACCCACAGAAGAGATCAAATTTTGACAATGCTAAACCAGTTTAAGATCCACATATCCTTAAATGGAAGTCTTTCAGTGAGCCTCACAGGAACACTGGGGAAGGAGACAAAAATATAGACAGTTCACCCTTTCATGATCGTTTAGTACTAATGTGGATCCTGTTCGGGGGTGATGTCATCAGGCATGCGTATACTGCGATATTCATTTTCCATGGGTCTGTAGTACATTGTGTAGACACTTCAAAGGTTGAAGAAAGCAGTCTTCTGGGATTTGGCACCGTGTATATATACAAGACTGCTTTCTTCATAGTCACCGCCATGAAAGCCTCAAATCTTACATTTCAAAGGTTGGCTGTACTCGATCTGGTTTCCATAATGCCAAATGTTTAGTTATTTAATTCTGTGTTATTAGTGCCAGCTGCTGGGGTAATTCATTCCGTATGGTGGCAGGCTACGGCAGTGTTCGATTCCCACCAGAGGCAAGAGACTTTTCTCTTCACATCACCAAAACTGGCTCTGGGGTCCGCCCAGCCTCCTATCCAGTGGTTACTACAGGATCTTTCCCTACGGGGAAAAACGGCCACGTCGTGAAAGTAACCATTCACATCCATCTAGTGCTGAGATTAAAAACGCATAGAGCTGTGCCTCCACTCCCCTCTCTGTCTTCATAATGTAGTGCTTAATTAAACACAGGAACATCTTACTTTTAACTTATTAATGGCTGTGGTGAGAATCAGACCTGGAATGTCTTGAATACTGTGACCTATAGACCCATTTGTAGGCAATCCCGTATACCCGCGGGATACAACGCGCACAACAGTGGAACGTTTATTGCTAGGTAACAGCGCAGTAAAAACGCCTCGTCAACATTAGAGGCTGTGCTTTATCCGTGGTCCGTGCCGAGGAGTTGTCATGAAGACAACTGACGCTACAGTGTATTTGAGGGTTCAATTGTGGAGTGTTAACCAGCGGCAACGGCGTGACCACGGAAGCCGAAATATTTGTTAAGATTCGTTACCAGGAAACACTGCAGAGGAATACCCATTGTGAAAGTCAGTTACCAAGTAAAGACTAGTGAAAGTAGACTGAGAAGACTTAGTGTGGGCTGATTTGTAGTATGAATATCAGCAGTAATGTTATAGTTATTTGTAGGTACGCCCTGTAAGTGCTCAGTAAATTTATTCACCAATCCAAATCCCGTATATAGTCGCTAATACAGGTGACATCTATGCTAGGAGATAGTATATTATTATGATGATTGATGAATCTGGCAGTGTTTTCATGAATGCCCCTGGGATCACGTGAAAATACAAAGGAACCTGTAATTTGTTTAAAATTTGTTCCTTTTCCCCCCCAAGATCTGGAAAGGAACATGAAAATGCAACGTGAAATCTTATCATTTTCTATATAAATTTTCATGCTTCTATTTTTCTTTTCTTTCTCCCATATTTTTTCCTATCGCACATACATCAGCGAATGATGCGTCCAGGCCTGTGATCGCCTGTGATGAACGCCATTTGTCACATGCTGACACACATTTCTTAAATAAAGAAAACACACGAGTAATGTGACTATAACCTGTCGCACCATCTGTTAACACTCTGCGGTCAGTACACACATGAGCCGTCAAATGGAACCTCATTTGCAACTGAAGGTGACGCACAATGTACGTTGCGTTTCTGCTCGTTTTTCCATTTACATAGTATTCATATATGTGAGAAAGTGTTGTGGTGGTGAAAAAGAAGTCGATCCCAAAATTACGACGGATGTACACATCTTGTATTCTTTATGCAAGAATTTAGTTTTTGTTATGTCATCTGTATCTACGTGCGCTTCGCTAGCACCTGAACGGTTGGGCGGATGTTATTCATATCTGGTATTAAGACTTTATTGGTCATAGGTGAGTATGAGGGCCGCGCCATAGCTCAAGCGGTTAGTCGCTGGCTTCCCACGGCGGCGGCCCGGGTCTGGTCAAGTGGGATTTGTGATGGACAAAGTGGCGCTGGGGCAGGTTTTCTCCGAGTACTTCGGTTTCCCTGCCAATCTTCATTCCAGCAATTGCTCCACAATCACTCTCACCTATCATCTGGGGCTGGTACAATAGGCCAGAAGTGGCCGCAGTACAAGGGACTTAGTCCCACCCCACTAGCAATACAAAAAAAATAAAAATAATATTGAGTATGTACTTTCCCGCTCCAGATATAGAGACCCATCAGATGGGACATAAAAAATGACAATTTTCTCTCAAGTGGCGACTTATTACGAACTTTTCCCCAAATAAAACGCAGATTTCATTGTTGTTCGATTTTCAGCAACTAGCAGTGGTGTGCTGAACAGTGACAGCACTGTAAAAGATAAGGCAAATTTGTCCCTGTGCCTAACTAATTAATCATTACGTCATGAAGGCGTATGGGGGAGTGGATGTATAGATTCACATTTTCTTGACCTCGACACTGGCTGGAGGTGAGTGGTCAGCTTCAAGCACCGGCCGCTTTACCCCCGGGGGAAGACACTCCGGTACTCATAGGATAGGAGGTTGGGTGGACCCCAGAGCCGGTTTGTACGATTTGGAGAAGAGAAAATTCTTGACCCTATCAGGACTCGAACTCCGACCCCTCAGTCGTCCAGCCTGTAGCCAGTCGCTATACCGAATACGCTACCCGGCTCCGAGAATACTGTAACTGTAAAGTAAAACTGTCCCAAATGTTTAATTTATTAAGCACCACGCCATAAAGACGTATGGGAGAGCAGATATACGTAGTTCTACAATTCTTGACCTCACAGTATGTCAGCTTTACGCCCCGGTCGTTTTATCCCCAGTATCCACCAGATAGGGTACTCTATGGGCTCCAAAATCGATCTTAGCGCTGTGGAAAAGAGAAAAATCTCTTGCCTTTGCCGGGAATCGAACCCCAGTTGTCCAGCCCGTAGCTCTTCACTACATCAACTGGACTAACCCGGCTCCACCTTTGAAAGTATTTCGTTTTTGGAAAAGAAATCATTCTTCAGTTTTTGACTGAGTTTCATGTTTTAAGCCTCCCAGAGTACGAAAAGGTTGTTTTTCGAATGCAGTCTGGGTGTCCTTATATGTATGTAATGTGCTTCTCTTTGAAGGTTGAATTTTAATAATTTTCGGCACTTTGAGAGTTTATTCGTCGTGGGTCGACACCCTTGAATATGAACTTTCTACATAATAATAATAATAATAATAATAATAATAATAACAATAACAACAACAACAACAAATTAGGGGTTCTTCAAATTATCCTCCTCAAAACAAAATGGCGATTTTCTCTGAAACTGTTCCAAAGATTTTGAGTAAATATTTTTAATTTGTGAAGATTGCTGTCTCTTCACTAGTATTCACTTAGTAAAGTAAATCCATCCCTGTAAGAGGCCGTGAAGGCCCATAGGGTTGTGAGACGTTGAGGGTCCCACATTATCTAGACAATCAGCTCACACATGACGGTAAGGTTGTCAGCCTTACGCGCCGGCCGCGCTTTACTCCCCAGAAGCTGAGTCAACCCCAGGGCCGTAGTGCGGCTGGAAGGATTAGGTCAACTGAAAAAAAAAAATCCAGTGACCTCATCGGGACTTGAACCCGCGACCTTCCGGCTTGTAGCACAGCCCCTCAACCAACTACGCTACGGCGTGACCCCAGTATTCACTATTATTTGTTATATAGATTTAAGAATAGACACAAAAATTTATGTCCTTACCCAGGATTGTTATTTTTTATTCCACACACGCGTGGAGTAGTTGAACTGAATGGATATTTGTTGCACTTTACATTTGAAGGAAATAAACGTAGGTTGTAGGTTAATGGTGATGGAGTCTCTGAAACACCGTGCTTGAAACGAGGAGCTGTGTTTACAATTCCGCCAACACCACGTTTGCTCACTACCTGTACGAAAAAAAAAATAGAAGTATATCAGAACAGAACGGAGTGTCAACCTCCTGAAACAGATTTCAAGTTCAGAATTGTATGTGACATTTTGGAGGGATGATGTTAGATTTTATAAGTTTGAGTCATGTGCCATGGAACACTTCTTTGAGACGAAATAGTGACAGTGCTCTTCAAGCATGTTATGAGGGCCGCCTCGACATTTTCCTGATTAACCTTCTTTTTTTTTTTTTTCATCACACAATGTCCAATCCAAATTGAATAGCGCAATAATTAAATAGTATATTGGAAGAAACGAAAGAAAATCTTACGATCTTTGACATCTAATTAGGAAAATTGATGGTCACACACATAATAGATACATACAAATTTAATTACTTTAATATTTAATCAATGACAAAAGGTATTAATACCGTGTTGCTTTGTGTGACAGACATATACGTGGAAGTTTATGTCAAAACAAGAACACAATTTCATAATTTTAATAACCTTCGCCTGTGTTTTGACATTTCTGAAAGAAGCGGCTGTGCAGCTCCCAAGCGCACGACTTCCCCTGCCTTGACTACAGCTCTGTATATACAGGGTTAGCCTAAAAGAAAGAGACACTTTCAAAGTTTTACAGAAAGAAGAGTTTTAATAGCATGGCCGAGATACTTACAGGGTTTGAAAAGTACACCCTGAAGTTTACATGGGTAAGTTACAAGTGTTCTTTACATTCACTTTAGGTGAATCCCTCACATGCTCTACCACAGCTCTCAGGTTTTCAGTTCTCCATATACGAACGTTGTGTTTGTTCACCGTACCACTAATGTGGTTAAACTAGCCGGTTAAAGAAATCATTACTTCCTTCATACCGTTGCTGCATGTCCATACAGAATGAGTGACAGAGGATTTTGTCGTTTTCAGTGAGGTTCTGCAATAATTGCAACCGGTAAGGTAACATTCGTGCCGGCCACGGTAGCCGAGCGGTCTAAGGCATGCACTGTCTTCGCTCGCTCGGAAGCCGTGATCGTGTGTTCGAATCCCACTCAGGGCATGGATGTTTGTGTGCGTTTTTCTGTGTTTGTCTACAGGTAAAGGCCTTGCGACGAGCTGATCACTCGCCCAAGGAGTCCTACCGTATGTGTAAGATCTAGAAAAACCGAAGTGAACGGAGTTCATGGAGGTAGGCCTAGGCCCACTGGGGCTGTAGTGCCAAGGAAAAAAATGGAACATTCGCAAACGTTTACGCAAGATATTCCACACAGTCTTTTGTGGAACTTGAAGTTCTAAACTTGCACGTGTTGTCGACTTTTTTGGGTTGCGCGTGTAAGTTTCACGAACACGAGTCATTTAAAATATTTATTTTAGGCTAACCCTGTATATATAAAAGGGTGGCCGGCGGGTAAAGCTACACTTCACCCTTAAAATTCTAGTCCATGTTATTTCTACGTAATCGCAACATATTCACATCAATACTGCTATATTCTCTTTACTATCAGGTACATTTGAGTTCATTACAGGATCAATTTCAAAGCAGAAGGGTATATCAGTTGGGAAGCGCAGAGATTAGCCAAGTGAATCTGATAGACAATATGACAGTGTGGTGTCACTACATAATGTTTGATGTCTTTACCTTGGTGCGTATTGAATTGAAGGCAGATGTGATATCGCTGGTACCATATGATGTTGGCGCAACAGTAAGTAACACTTCAGGCATATATTGGCATTCAAAACGACTTATGCCACATTTCATGGGTAAACATTCCCTCTCGATTGAAGAACCAAACGCAATTCTTTCTTTCTTCTTTCTTGTTACTATGTAACTGAAATCTATAAAGGTACAAAAAAAATAGAATGAAGTAAACCTTCAAACTACTTCATAAACTATACATGCTCCCCTCTCCTAGTTATTTTAAATGAACTCATAATTACAGAACATAATGAAATATACTGTATTAAAATTATTCCTAAATCATACAAATTGCTTTAAACGGCTTAACCCTTTATTGACTGGAATTATGCTGTATATATGTAAATAGAAAGCGCAGTTGGTATAGCGACTGGCTATGGACTGGATGAACGAGGGTTCGGAGTTCGAGTCCTGGTAGAGTAAAAAATTTTCTCTTCTCCACGTCGTCCAGACCGGTTCTGTGGTCTACACAGCCTCCAGTCCAGTGGGTACAAGGGGCTCCTCCCCCGGGGGTAAAGCGGCAGGGACGTAAAGCTGACCACTCACCTCCAACCAGTGCCAAGATCAAGAATACATGGCTCTATATATCCACTCCCCTGTACGCCTTCATGGCTTATAGTGCTTAATTAATCACAGTTACAACTTTACCTTGTACTTCACACGAAACGTCTCCGCTACAAAGATCAGCCGGTGAATGCTGTTTAGAGATATAATCAATATTTATTGTGAGAACCATTGGAACATGAAAATACACTCTGTGGGCAGAACGCAGAGTTCCAGTAGCAGGTGGTACAAATAGATCTACTGGACTTTGATCGGTTACATTTAAGTTTGTAAGTAAATTTTCCGGCTGCCCTCCGGCGGAAAATTGGCTGTCCCTGCCCTCTGAAAAGAAACTGCCGGCGCCCATGTTTCTGCTATCATGGTGTTGCTCTCCTCATTTTCGCCAATCACAAGCTAAAGTAATACCTAAATTAGGCCAGGTCTGCTTCCTTCTATGTCTTTCCACTTCATTTACACACATCCTGCTGTCCGGTGCTGTGCAACGTTTGCGCATTGCAATTCCGATTATCGGTGTGAGGTTATCTGCTGTCTAGCTTATCCTTGTAGATACACAGGGTGCCAGTCAATGTCCCTCGGCTCGTCTATCCATCCGTCTGGAGAACTGCAGGGTGAGTTTGCATGAAATTTGGTATTCGAGAGCTTCACGAAGTATTGTCGAGGCATTTCAGATTTTTAATTTAAACTGGGAAATTTTAAAGTCCGCTTTACATGACAAAGTACATGAGTTTCTGCGCACATTTTGCTAAATATATATACAAGCGAGAAAGAATTCGAGAAGAAGTTACAGAGCAAAATGAAACGCGTGTTTCAATACAATCTTGAACACATCGTACGTTATACTTAAATTTCCGACCCTTTACATTCAATAGTTACATAGTACAGCTAAATTTACACCTGAATTTCTCTATTTTCAGGACCAGAGAAAGGCAGGTTTTAATTCAAGCCACCTTACAAATTTCGCTAATTCGCGCTACACGTAACGACGTTGACGAGGAATGAACAGCTTGCTCCTGTGTTCACACACCTGCAGGTCCCCTCTGCGACCAGCACGCACCGACACGTCAAAACACATTCGAGAATATCTTGTCGGTCCTCTGGTGGTCTGTTCTCGTTAGGACCTACAGATAAGGCGAGTTTCTCTGCTTCCACCGGTATCATGACGTGTTTCCAACAGCCTGAAGTGACTAGCTAAAATAGTGTGAAACAATTAAATGTTATATTTGTAAACCTAATGCACGAAATTACATACCTGTCGGTGATTTCACCGGATACATTATTTAACTAATCTCTTATCGGTTTGATTCCCGTCCAGGAAGATAATTAAATCGTCGGATTTAAACCTGAAGATGGAGGCGATATGTTCCTCCGAAACGTCGGTTGACTCTCAATGGACTGCACGGCGTTGTATCCCAGAAGACAGAACTCTTCGTAACTGGATTGGGTTCTGCAGCGTTCACGTACCATGTCTCGGAACCATGAAGAAGTTGGCTAGACTTTTGGCAGACTCAGCCATGAGATAGCCACTTATGCACGACATCGTAATATCTAGGAGAGATTATCCTCACTCCACCTCTACCCCCTCCAAATCTATATGCCACGTCATGCAGCATCGCGTGCCTGGCGAGACGTTACCCTCCGTCCTTTCGTGTCCTTTGTTGGGCTCAGCGGGTTCTTTCACATCAGTGTCCACCAATAAATTAAGTAAATGCCTTGATTGTTACATTATTCAAAATTCAACGAAGCGTTGTTTCAGTTCTGCATGCAAATCGTTTCGAGGTTTGGAGGCCATCGCACGGTTTCCAGTCCGAACCGTGAAGTCAGTTTGTAAGTGATTATATGCACAGTATTCTCAGCGACTCGATTTCTTGCTGACGTGAAGTCAGACCATACGAATGTTTTAGAAAGTGTGTGATGCTGAAGGTGAAGTTAGTGCTGTGCATAATAATGAATCACGACATGAAGGCATATGGAGGAAACGATGCAATAAATTGAAAAAAAGAAAGTGGCCAACTTTAAGTCCTGGCCGTTCTACCCGCGTCGGAAAATCCCCCTGTACACTCTGGTTAGGAGGCTGAGTGGGCCACAGAGTTGATCTGGACACAGAAAAAAAAAAGAAGAAGAAATATTCCTGCACCTGCCTCCAGTCGAACAACTATTCGTCCTTTGTTCAGCCCATAACCTAATTATTGTACTGACTAAGGTACCCCGGCCCTCCTTATCCACCATAAATGTAGGTACATGTAATTATGGGCGATGCCAGAGAAGTTGCTTACTAACTTACATTTAAGCCGTTTACAACCGTTTTAATGATAGAATAATATTAAAAAATAATTTTTTGTGTTAATATTTTATGTCTTCTTTTTCCAATTTTTGTTTTTTCATAAATCTTATGTGGCAAAGGGCTGCAAATTATATTTCTATGTGCTCAAGTTTATTGGAATCAGTAAACGTAACAGGGTTCCAAACAACATTAGCATATTCAAGTTTAGACGTGACTAGAACAACCATACAGCATCAGTACACTTTCTAAGGTGTAATTTTATTGCACGTGGAAAAATAAAATTTACATAACGATGAAAATGAAATTTACAATCAGTATGCACGCCTAAATCCCTAATAGAATGCGTTAGCAATATAAAGGAATTTGCAAGTGTATACTGATAATTCAGATCGATTGTCTTGTTGGTAATACAGATTACTCTAATTTTACTGAAATAATAATAATACATTTTTTATTTTTTTACGTGCTGAGTTGAACAGCCAATGGCCAATTACAGAGTCAGCACGAATACAAACAACAGCAGCAGTGAGACAAACACAGACCAAATGAAGAAACGAAAGCAACAACAAAATACAAATAATAATGAGAGCAATAATGATAATGATAATGATAATAATAATAACAACAAGAGCTCTTTTTTCAGTGAATGAAAGTCACTGTCAACAAGGAATACCGTCTTTTAAAGAACGCATATGGAAATCGATTGTCTTTTTCTTTTCGGAAGACTTTACACATTTCCAGTCTCTTTTCTTTTAAAACGGAGAAGAGTCTATTTGAAACTAAGAGTGTGTTTCAATCGATCAGTTCCCCTTTCCATGTCTGAGTTTGAGCAGTTGACTCTCCGTACTTAAGTATAGAATATGTTACTATTTATCCGGGATGTAATGTGTGTGTGTGTGTGTGGAAATAGCCTAACGCAAACGCAAAAATAATAATGATCTACTTTCTGAGTTCTAAACTTAGTTTTATGTCAACTGCGAAACCTCTGTTCACATTAGAGAGTTCAGACGTTTCGTCTGTTCGTGTTGGAATAATAAATAAAGTTTAAACTTCTTCTGGAATCAAATTGATTTTTTTTTTCTTCAGTAACTTGGCATTCTGTCGGCGCTGCAAAATAACTAGGCATTAACAAATTCCTTTTTCAGTTTTACGTATTACATCAGTAAATCTGCAACAGAGCCGTTACGCTGCTCATCCTGGAAATAATCTCACTGTTCCCTAAATGTAAGAAGGTTAAGCTATGCCTGTAACAGGCCGTGAAGGTACATAGGTTTGTGAGACGTCCAGGCTCACACATTTTCTAGACAGTCGGCTCACAGATGGTGGTGAGTTTGTCAGCCTTACGCGCCGGCCGGCCGCCCTTTACCCCCCAGGAAGATTCCTGGCAGTCATTTCAGTAAGACGCTCAATCGACCCCAGGGCCATAGTGCGGCTGGAAGGATTGTGTCAATTGAAAAAATCCAATAACCTCATCGGAAATCGATCCAGCGACCTTCCTGCTTGTAGAATAGTGCCACAACCAACTACACTATCGCGTACCCTTTCCACTGTTCCCTACCAAACAGAAATTAATACTTTGACAATCAAACTAAGTTACAATCCATTATTAAAAAATAACTTTCCCAATAATACATATTTCATGATTGGTATGAAGAATTATACTGATCTATATACAGCCTAGTTATTGAGTCTTTTTCATTTTTCTATTGAGTTTTTTGAAACAGGCGTTAGACCACTTTACAGTCTCACACAAGTCTGTTCTAAGTTATTTTATATGCTGATTTTATATTTTTCTTTGCTCTCCACCTTGAGATGTTACATATTTATTGTCGTTTCAACATTTTTACTAGCCTTACAGACAAAGGTTTTATACAATATGTATCGCTATTTCTGTTGAGATTTTTATCACGAGTAGGACCACTTTACAATCTCACACACGTCTGACTTAAATACACGTATTATTTTTGGGCACGCGGTAGCGTAGTTGGTTGAGGCACTAAGCTACAAGCCGGAAGGTCGCGGGTTCAAGTCCCGATGACGTCATTGGATTTCTTTTTTTTTTTTCAATTGACCAAATCCTTCCAGCCGCACTATGTCCCTGGGGCCGACTCAGCCTCTAACAGAAATGAGTACCAGGAATATTCTTGGGAGTAAAGGGCGGCCGGCGCGTAGGGCTGACAACCTTGCCGCAATCTATGGGCCGATTGTCTAGAAAATGTGGGAACCTCAACATCTCACAGCCCTATGGGTCTCCACGGCCTGTTACAGGGATACCTCTACTTTATTTTACTGGATTTTATAAATCATGGTTAACACTGAATCTTGCCCAAGTGCATACAGCCATCTACACTGATGGTCCTCTAAAGGTATCCCTGTAAAAGGCCGTAGAAGCCCATACGGTTGTGAGATGTCGAGGCTCCTAAATTTTCTAGACAATCAGCTGACATATGGCGATGAGGTTGTCAGCCTTACGCACCAGGCGCCCTTTACCCCCCCCCCCCCTTCCCAGGAAGTTTCCTGGTGTTCATTTCTGTCAGAGGCTGAGTCGACCCCAGACCATAGTGCGGCTGGAAGGATTAAGTTAATTGCAAAATCCAATGACCTCATCCGGAATCGAACCCGCCACCTTCCGGATTGTAGCATAGAGCCTCAACCAACTACGCTACCGCGTGCCCTCGACGCTCCTCTAACTACACACAAACACACACGTATATTTTCGACTCAGCATATTGTTTTGTACATAATTCTTCATTTAGTACCTACACAACACAATTTTTATGTTCGTAACTTTTATCGGGGGCATGTACTGTCTTCGCTCGCTTGGAAACCGGGATCGTGGGTTCGAATCCCACTCAGAGCATGGATGTTTAGTTTGTGTGTGTGCGTTTTTCTGTGTTTGTGTACAGGTAGAGGCCTTGCGACCCGCCCAAGGAGTCATACCGAATGTGTAAGATCTTAGAAAAACCGAAGTGAACGGAGAAGTTCATGGAGGAAGGCCCACTGGGGCTTTAGTGCCGAGGAAAAAAAGAAAGGAAAAAAAAAACTTTTATCGGGAACATTTGGGATGAACGGAAAATGCGCTGCTTTGGTTTACTGAGAGGTGTTAGTTACGTGATACATATTTATATAACGAACACTAATAGCTGTAGTTAATTGCTCACTGGTCCGTTTCCTTGAACGGTTTCAGGTAATACAAATTCGTACTACGTTAAGCTTGTCATATATGACCAGGGATGGAAACGGCTCTGGAGAACTTGATAGACACCCAGGGAATGACCAACACATGTTGCCCTCTGCCTTTACAAAACTCGCAAGTGTTTAGCTTCAGTGCTACATTCGAGATCGCTACATACATAAAGTGTGTGCAACTGTCATGTTGTTGCCGTGGGGGTCGGCAGGATATTTTCTAAAATGTGCTTACAGACTTAAACTTAAGTCATTTAAGATTAGGTTTACTGATCACTCTAGAGTACGAGTTTTCTGCATAGAAGAATAATTTTGGAACAAGAGTTACTCGTATTTCTTCTGGGACATAGCACAGTGCAGTGCATTGAAAATCAACCAAAGTTTCAGAAGAAAATGTCGTCTCAATCTTCAGGGCCGAAGAATAATCCAAGCAAGAAACCAGCATGAAGCAAACAGCAAGCGAAACTACCTGCTTCATGTAGGTTCTTTTTGCTTGCTCTATCCTGAAGATGGAGGCGACATGTTCATTCGAAATTTCGGTTGACTTTAAAGTAAGTACACGGCGGTATATCCTAGAAGATATAACTTTTCACAACCAGCAATGTGAGAACCTCAAATCCTACACTTGCTAAACATCTTTAATTTTTTATATTAACCTGATAATTGACATCTTTCCTTCCTTTGTTAAATTTTTAATTTGTAAGATTCCAGAAGGTGGCCTGACGTTTGCGACCTAATGTTGGCACCAAAAGCAATTGCATATGCATATTAATCTCGGCCAGGACATTTGCTCTCCTGATTGAGATTTTTCTTGGTGGTTGCAGTTCTTCCGGACATTAAAATTGAATTATGACAGCCTCGTTCCACATCCTTTCCAAATCATTATGTACTAATTATTCTACAATTCGACGCCATATATAGTCTGAGCTACTCACAGCATCATGAAATAAATCACAAATAGTGCTAGCTGCTACGAATTCATGATTGTTCATGATGATGCATTTATACGCAGCGCGATCCACAATAATCATGGAACTGTACATGCACGCCATCTAGTAGCTGCATGCAGTAGTGCTATCTAGTGAGAGAGCACTGTAATCACTGTAATAATGACTATTTCCTGTGCAAGTGAATCGTCTTTGGTCGCGTTTGACATGAAACGTTACATTTATTAGGACATGAGTACCACTATACTCTGTGGAGATATGACTAATGAAATGTCAGTGGTGGCAGAAGTCACAGAACTGAAAATAGAGGTAGAAATTAAAAATTTCCCTATGTTTAACTAATCAAGCACTGCGCCATGAAGGCGTATTGGGGAGTGGATGTATATATCCACATTTTCTTGACTTCGGCACGAACTGGAGTTGATTCTTATTCAAATTTAAGCAACGAGGATAACTGCAAGCTGAAACAATTATTATTATTATTATTATTTCACTCATACAACTAAATACTGAATTTTGTACCTATTGTTTCAGTTTATTCGAATGTAAGTGACATTCATGGTTTAGATTTTGAATACACCAAGGAAAAAGACAGCGTAAGTCAGACTTTTAGTTTCACACCCACTAATACGTTACTTGAACTTTCAAAACACACTTCGAATTAGAGGTAGAACGAAATCGAGAAGTGTTAAAAATAAGTATAGGTGGGTTCAGGTCATTCAACGGCAGACTTGTAACATCCAAGCTTAATGCACTATACTTCCACCTTGAATTGTAATGGCACTTCTTTACAACTTGGTGAAAGAAAGTGGATACATTGGATACGCTGCTAATTTAACATAAAGTGACATATGTTATGACAATACAGCTAAACTATTATTAATCAAAGATCATTTTTAAATCAGCCGAATCATGGTCTGTATACTATATGGAATTAAATAACAGTTATTCTTAAAATAAAGCATTAATTTACGTTAACCGTTTATAAATATTACAAGGGTTACAGCTGTAAGGTACATTAGCAAAAGTTCCGAACATTCCATGTTGTTACGTCATATTTTGTAGGGAGGGAAAGGGCTTTCGTTTTGCAGCATTTGGTAGTCTCTGATCCGCTCTGATCTGCCAATCTTGCATACAGAATAATCAGATTGCATTTGGAATTCTTTAAATATGCACTGTCCGGTTTGTTTCAGAAACTCGTGTCCTATTCACCAGTTTCGTTGACTGTAAATTCAGTGTGTGCGAGTATCGATCGTGTGTTATGGCAATGCAGCAGGGGCGGAGATGGACTCAGCTGAGTCTGACCAGTTGCGTCTCTGTCTGTGCGGTATTCCAGTGCAGGCTGTTGGTCGATGGGGATGTGCCTCTGCGTTATGTATGTCACACATGGCTCCCGTCGAGGTTGTAGGGGTTGTGAGTCGTTCTGCAGGAAATTAAGTATTTGCCCTGGTAATCTATTTATTTGAGTAGGAATATATTATTGAAGGCACATAATGAGCTCAAGAGAGTGCATGAGTAAATAAATTGTGTATTTATGTTGATTATAGCAGGAAATAATATTGGAATAATTTCGTAGCCGTTTGCTTGTAGAGGAAGTATGAGTTTTTGCCATTTTGTACTTGTTGCGATATCCGCAGAGGTATTTTTATTTAGATAGAATCGGTGGTTAGGCTACTGTACGATAATTTTTAATGCAGATAGTTAATATTTTTTGCTATTTAATATTTGTATTTTTATAATTTGCAATATTATGATTGTAAAAGTGCGATTCATTGCTTTGTGATGTCGCCATATCTTCAAGGACATGCGGTGTTGTTTTCTGTATGAATTATTGGATGTGGAGTGTAAAACGTTGTATATATTCAGAATGTAGGATGAAACTATTATGTGTTGCAATTTTGAGTCCAATTTGTTTGATTAGGTGTATTAGTTCATACTATGCACTTGGTATTGGAGGAGTATGAAATTACATTTTCCCAAAACGTTCTTAGCAGGTTTTCGTAATAATGAACCTGCTGCAATACTGAGAATTTGGGACACTTGGGAACCACCATGACTACATCTTCAGAAGATGTTCTATTGCAAGTGGGACAGGTTCGTTACAAGAAAGGAGATGGGACCCTGTATGTGATGAATGAGCGCCTGGCTTGGATGATGGATCACAGGGATACTGTCTCTGTGAGTCATAGATACACCGATATTAAAAGTAAGTTCATGTTCCAAGTGTTGTTATTAGTGAATAACAAATAATTTGTGTCTGGCAGTGTTTGAGAAATACTGGCTTGTGCTGATTTTGAAGTATAGATTCTAGACAGTTAATTTTCATTAGCAGACATACTCTGAGCCTCTCATACTTTTATAAGTAAGTTTACAGTAACTTTAAAAAAGGAACTGAATATTACAACAGTGCTGGATACAGGATATCTTTACTGTACAGCAATCAGAGCTTCTTCAGTATGCAAAACTGACACACACATACAATTCGTGATTGTTTTTTTTATTGGAATCAGCCTAAATATAACATATATACAGGCCTGCTCAAATTGTGGGTTCAGGTTTGTCATGGCAACAAAATCGTTCATAATGAAATTTAGAATTTCCTTCCTGTTAAATTACTACTTGCATTTGTCCTTTTCCTCTTTCACTTTATGTGTATAACCTCTCACTATTTTCCCTTATCCCTTCAGATCCCTTTTATCTGACTTGTCATTGTTAATTTTCTTCCCCCATATTAAAATAGTTCTTTCATAGCTGTTCCTCCATTTCTGTATCAGTTTTTTTACATTTATCTTCGTTCTCTTGCTTTACACTCCCTCTTATATTTGTCCTTCCTGTTGCCTTTCACCTCCCCATATCCAGCAATGTCAGAATATCCTAAGCAAGCAAAGGCATGTTGGGTGTACCTCTAGCATGACAGGAAGTGTCTATAATTTATATAAAGATGTTTCAGTTCACGTTTTTAATACAAGTGTGTGAATTTGTCACTTGTATTTTGTTTTTTTTATTCTGGCTCGTATACTTACAGGGAAATATATAGGTCTGTATATGTGTGATATTTCATTGCAGTATTTTGAATTGTTTCATTTTGGTCCGTTACACTATCAATCACNGTTTTTGTGTACTTACACGTGGGAACTCTGTGTTTGAAACTGTACCATGTGAATGATAAAAGTGTATATTTTTAATACATTCTTTTCATAGAAAAAGGGTTGAAAGGGATAAAGGAATGGAAGAAGGGCGCTGGAGGATGACACATAAAATGATTACCATTGAATTGTAGTGGGCTGTTTGATTAGTAAAGCAAGTTGGGGAAAACAGAAGAGCAGGGATTGGTTTCCCTTTCTGACAGTCCCCAGTGATCCCCTTCTCTGTGCATGCTCCAACGTTCTGAGGTTTGGTGTTACCAAGTGTTATGTTACTATAAGTGCTGACCATTTTAGTCCCAAGCAGTCAAAGTTAGAAGTGTGGTGCACCAAGAGGGTGAGTGAACTTCTCTGAGAATTGAGATACTACAAGGGAACAGGAAGAAGACAATGGAATGTGACACATGTTTTATGGCCGTGCAGCATGCAGGGCACTTGTAGAGTCTTCTGGGTGGCTTTTAGTGAAGATAGTGTTACTGCAGTAATATATATATAACTGAAGACCGACCCTCTAAAATCTGGCTGTGTCTTATGGTACATGCTTTCTAGCCATCTGTCTTAAGATTTTGAAATCAAAATGGTGTTTTTTTTGTGTGTGTTGAATATGGTTTCCTCTTTTACTTTTCCCATATTTATGTGGTTATCTGCATCTGACTTCGAAATTTGAACTTCACACATTGGATTTTCAGATTATCTTGTCATTTTGGGGCACTTAGTCTCATCACATTTTATAAAATGTAAGCAGTCTTTCCTTCTGAAGACCTCTTCTGTTAGAAAATTTTGAGACCTTGGTTTTATTCACATTTTCTTTTTCCAGTCAGTTTATGTCTTCTCCTTTTCTTACGGAGGAATGATGAAATTTCATGACCAGCATTGACAGTTACCATCATCTCTGCCATTCCATCTTTGGATGTGTATTCATCACTGTTTCATTGCCTGTTGGTGTTATTCTGAATTTGTACAGTCCAGATGGACAGAGAGCCTTGTTATAAATTTTGTCAACTTCATAATACAATGACCATGCTTCTTGCATTCACCCACGTGACATCATCAGTTGCCATGCTTCTTTCAGATTTATCTTTTATTTTTACATACTAGAACCAAAACAAATGCACTGTAACTTAAAATAAATTCAGTGGCTCCAATCCAAACTAATCTGCTACCAGATTCTTATTTTTGGAGAGAGAGAGACACAATTGTAGATATTATGGTTTTGTAAGATAGCAGCACTCTGTATCTCAGTATGTGGATACCAGCGTTTCAGAGGACAGATGCAGATACAGTATATGTTCATATATCAGAAAAAAATGTTTTAACTTTGCTATTAAAACAACAGGTGTCTCTTTTTAAATAGTGTATCTTCATCAAGACAAATGGTTACATGGCCGACTAGTGAGAACTACACACGAAGGGGGGCACAGCATGGATGCCGCAAAATGAAAATAATGCGGAGTGAAGAGAGAGTGTTCATTCTCAAACAGACATATTGTAGTGTGAATGACAATATGCAGGAGCATGGGATGCATTGACAAACAGACTAGTGCAGTGCAGCAGTTTCAGTTGGTGAACGGCCTTGTAAGGCCGAAACAGTATTTCTGAAAAACAAAATAGACACAGTTGCATCAACATCTGTTCTGTTTTGCTGTTGATGCTATATAAACAGATGTTGATACAATAGTGTCTATTTTGCCTTCCAGGAATATTGTTGCGTAGACTGCCCCCATCATACACATTATATATGCTATAATTGTTGGTGTGTCATAGATACAGCAATCTTGAAACTGTAATAACTTACTGTAGTTTCAACTCGTGAAGATCCAGTAAATCAATTCATGTGATCCAGAACCCATTAATTATTCACACACTAACCCTTATATATGACAACTGATGTTAGAAGTGATACGGATTGTATCAGGGTGATGGAATTATTGGATTTGAGATTACATTATGTTTTAATATTGTCACATTATGGAGACACAACAGATGGTAGAACTTGTGCTGGCCAGAATGAACGCCAATACAAAAGCCAACCAAGAACACATGAAATTAATGACAGAGAGTCAGATAGGTTCTCTATTCTCCAGAATGGAGGCTGACAGAAAAACCAACTGGGAAGAAATAAAGAGCTGGCCAAGAATAGATGGCTTCTCTCGTCTGCCAGATAGAGACCAGCCAGTCAAAAACAGATGTAAATCTAAAGGAAATGAGAGAAGAAATGAAATCTGGACAAGCTGAAATGAGATCCATAGTTAATGCCTGGATAGCGGACATGAAGGATGATTGAAAAGAGACAGTGTCCTGCCAAGTAAAGATTGCCTGTCTGGACAGTAAGGAGCTAAATCTGGAAGACATGGAATCAAAAGTGGAACATTGGGAGGTCCCTATGGAAGAGGCGGTAGGGAAATCTTCAGGAATAATAAAGAAGCAGCACAGGCCGGTATCAAGCTGCAGGGTGATGTGGAGTGCCGAAGGATTGTGGATTCCAGAGGAAGTTGGCTGCTGTCTACAGGAAGGTGTCCTGTCGTGCAGAAGTGGCACGGTGCAAGAGAAATTTTTGGGGGAAAATTCAGGCTGGGAAATTATGGACTGCGGAAGGAATTAGCTGCAACTGGCAGGAGGATGACCCACAGTACACAAGTGGCATGGCACAGGGGATACGATCAGGTCAGTGTGATACAAGAAACCCAGAAAGGACAGAGGTTAGGGAAGAGATGTTGGGCAAGGAATGCAACAGTGGAATAAGGGACTGAGGCCTAAAACAGCAGCTACACGGCAGGAAGTGAATGAAGGACCTAGGTGGCAGTTGGCTGCTATGCCTGAGAAAGGAAAGGACAATCATGAACTTCATTGGAGGGTGGAGCTCAGGACAGCAATCACATCTGGGAAGCAGAGGAACTCTCAAGAAGACCCTATATGAGATTTTCAGAGGGAAGATTGTGAAACAAGTAGACTTAACTTCCAGCGGGCTACAAAGAATGATGGACTGGACGTTGTGAAGGGGTTGGCTCCCTCTGAAGCAGAAAAAGAGGCTGCACACAGAATAGGAGCCAGAGATGTGGGAGCACCAGCCACTCCAGGAGTTATGGTCCACTGTGGAAGGGCGAAAAAGAAAACCTTTGGATGATGGTGAGAACCATTACTAACTGGAATTTTATCAGGGAGCTTCTTGGGAGGAGCAACCTTAAGGAGGGGGCAGTGGTAACGGTTGGAGAGTAGTCACCGTGTAAAAAAAGTGAGCAACCAGAAGGAAGGTGAGATGAAACCGAACAGAGACCTCAGAAAGGAAGAACAAATGGTGCACTGATAGGCTTTCAGGACGAGCAGCCTTAAGGAGGGAGCAATGTGACAGGTTGAACCGTTTCTATGAAATGAATAGGTAAACATGTTCCAACCAAATTTTGTCCATCATTACAAGGACATCCATTGCTAGATAACAGAATGGTAACCACATCTCGCAGAAATGAATACGCAGCAGTAGGGTGTCCATTGCTAGGCAGCGCATGGGTGGACAATTCTGACAACAATACAGGATGTCCATTGCTGAGCAGTTGATGTGTATTCTGTGTGTCAGTCTGTACTGAGCCTATATAAGAAGCTGAAGGTTTGTAACAGGAAGATGGCATTCAAGGCAGTTTAATAGCTGAAGGGTTGAAGACTTTATGTGTTACTGGTACAGTAACCTTGAGAGTGTTATAATTGTTGGTGTGTCATAGATACAGCAATCTTGAAAGTGTAATAACGAATTGTATTTTCAACTGGTGAGGATCCAATAAATTGATTCATGTGATCCAGAACCCATTAATTATTCTTCACACTACCCCTTATACATGACAATACGTTAAAATTACCGTAATCTAGTCAGTATTATGTTTGCCATTGGAATTTGCAGTTATAGTTGTACTTTTGAATACATTAATTGTAATGTAAATTGTATTTCTATAGTAGATATACTTAGGTATTCACTGAGCTGTTATTCAGGGGGTATGTAACTCAGAATAAGTGGAAGTAGAACGTCACTTCCCAGATGACATAGAGTACCGCTGAATATGATTATAATTTTTTTATGCATATTTGAAGTTCCAGATGCAGTGACAGTAAACTTCTCATTTCTCTCCAGTCAGTGGGCATATTGTAGCCTCAGTTCAAGCAGATGGTTTGGAGAAAAGCATGCTCTATAATGAACTTCTTTGCCTGGGCCCAGGCTAGTTCTGTAGGGTTGAGATGACAGTTGTGTGGGTGTACCAACTGAATCGAGTCCAGTTGAGTTGAATTTAGTGCGATATACTGAAATGCTGTGAGGCCACACCCATTAATTTTGCATTGAATTTATGCAACCTCTGTCACACCGCAGGAATAAGAGCGTTGGCGAGGGTTACCGCATCTTAGTTGACCCCATTAACATAATTGCTGCCACATTAAATGCATATCTTGCCCTGGGAGCTGATGTCTTTATTTAGGGTTTTGTCTGGGATATAATGCACATTTATAAAAACTGGAAACATGCAGAAATAATCAGAATCTCAGTCTGAGTGTTGTGTAAAAGAAAGGTAAAGTCGTCCGTATGCTTAACTAATTAAACACTATGCTATGAAGGTGTATGGGGAGTAGATGTATAGATCCACATTTTCTTGACCTCGGCACTAGCTGGAGGTGAGTGGTCAATTTCATGTCCTGGCTTCTTTACCCCTGGGAAGGAGCCTCCTGTAGGTTGGGTGAACCCCAGAGCCAGTGTACAAACCTGTTAATGCTTCATTGTCATGCATGTAAGTTATTGGAAGCTGGAACAAGTGCTGTAGCCCACTGATGTATGTCAAGCAGCAGTGAACATGTTAAACACAACTGGCCTTGATTCATATGCCTGGAGCCAAGGGTGGTGTGACCACATCTAGTGATGTCTGTTTGAGAATGTATCTGTTGATTTGTGTATTTCTGTAGAGTTCTGAAACTCCTGTTTTCTTGTCATATCATTATGGGCGACTCCCACCTCCCACCTCTGAAGTCATCACTTACGATTATACACAGTTCACATTTAGACATCAGTTCTATACAGCACAGGATCAAATTTGGATTGTCTGTGTGCTTGTATGTGCAGAACTGTGTTTAACTGAGGCCACACATACATCTGCTGCGCAACCTTGTGGTGATACACGACTCCTGCTGTAACATCTGTATTGGACAGTGTAACACACACTTCACAGACTTTTCTTTCTCATAAAGAAGTGTATGTTTTGCCGCAGAACATTGCATTCAAGTGTAAATGAAGTAATGCTTCTGGAAAAATAGTTTTGGAAGTAATGAACAGAGAATTGGTGTGCTTGGAAAACTATACCATGGTGAATATTTGGCATCTGTTGGAAGGCATTTCGATATCAATGAAACTTCTGTTAGAATTATTGAAGTCAAGCAGCCATTAGAGCTAGTACTTCATAGAACAGCATGTACTTTCCTCAATATTACGATGGTACACCAATTTTTAATGTTTGTATACACATGCACGCACACACTGGGCATAAATAAAAGCTGTTTTTTATGGTATATGTGTACTGTTACACTTCTTTATTTTGAACCTTGAACTTTTGTACATTGTGGGATGTTTGTTCAAAGCAAGAACTGTGGAGCCAGAGAAACAGCCAGTGCTGGAAGACGGCTCTGAAACATTTGTTTCTAGGCAGCAGCCAAGAAACAAATGGAACAATGGCCTCTGCTAGGGAACTGCTTGTTAAACATGATCCCACGGCACTGGATATGCATGCAACAATGTCGTACTGTTGGAAACCGGGCTTTCTGCTGTGGTCCATGCCGAGGGGTTATAAGGAGGGCAACTGAAGCATTATTAAGCATTTGGAAGGATTTCCCACTCAAAGAGGACTTGAGCATAGGAGCAGTGGAATGACCATTGTTAGAAGCCCTTAACCAGGAAACGTCTAGTGGAGACTACAACAATCTGAGAACACTAGTCTGTGTGCTGTAGTGATATGTAAAGCGGGAATTAGCGGTGGTGCTGTAATTAAGAATTGTGTGTTAAAGTGGTCAGCAAATGCGATACCCAATCCAAGCCCTGTTGAGAATCACTCCTTCATGTGACTATATTTTCATGTGTTAGTGACTGTACATGAGATTTGGATTGATAACTGTTTTTATTCAGCATTTATAACTCAAATACAAATGGCTATGTCTACTTGGTTATGGGGAATACCTTTTCTTCCCAGGAAGTGGGCACTTTGATAAAAATGATAAGTTGGAATGATGAATCTCATATGGGGTTTGAGATGTGTCTCTTGAGGGGAGCGCCACATCTATATGTAAGTGTTGCAGCTGTTTACTGAGCTCAGTAGTGCCGCCTACAAATGCCATTTGCACTAAATGATATTACTTTGAGTGGCATATGAACTCTAGCAGCTGCTTTGTTTCATTAAGTACCATTTTTGTAATGATCACTGGCTTGTCCAGTTGGTCCTTGTTATACAACCTTGACACGGAATGCATGAAGAGCATATTCTTTGTTGTTGTGTCAGTATCTGGTGCTGCGAAACCCTGTTTACCACACTGTTGCCAAACAATGGCCACCACTTCTTGTTAAACTATTCTGGCTGTTGGCCTTCATGTCGTATGTTTCAAAGGTTAATTCCTGTTACTCCTTATTTCCCATAGACCAACTCAGTTTTGATATTCACAGTATAATTGAAGGCTGTAACTGTTATACTAAACAAGGGATTACTGTATTCATTTGTTGGGTTGACTTGGATACAACAGTTTGACACTTTACTTTTCAAATGTTTTGTGTAGTAACATCTTTTCATACCAATTCACTTTATTTTGATCTTTTTTTAGTTTATTTAATGATGCTGTTGGTATATCAGACTGTAGTGTTGAAATGATTGAATGATAGTGAATGATGAATTGGGAAGGATATGTAAGGAAGTGGTTGTAGCCCAATTTTAAGATAAGTGTCCTTGAATTTACTTGGGGGGAATGAGGAACTCATGAAAAAACTGAGTTAGGATAGTCAGTGCCCTGGCTGAGATTCAAACCAGGCACCTCCTGAATACAAATCAGATGCTTTGTTACTCAAGCCAACTTGCCTCGTACTTTGTAACATTCCCTAACAGATATAAGTGGTTTATAGCTTCCCCCATGTTACCTCAAATTACAAAGAAGGAATTGGCCAAAGAAAATAAAAGGTATTTGTGTTCATGTTGAATGAACAGAGAGCCAGATAGGTATTGTTGAGTAAACCAGCAAGTCATGGTTCTCAGTAATGTCACGCGTAGGGAGTGACTGTAGCCGGGATTTGCACTATTGAATGGATTTATTGACCACATATACACATGACTCATAAGTACAAGTAATTACAGTACCACTGCTAATCTCCACAGTTCGTGAATCACTACAGTACTTATCAAATCTATTCCAGCCTGCTGTGTTATCATCAGCCATTCCCTGGCATTGGCTTCTAACATTCAAAATTCTTCAGCTTCGTGCGTTTGGATCCTATCTTCACTGCCCCCCATACAGAACTGCCTAACAACTGACTTTGTCCCTTGCTTATAACATCTCGGCATGGACCACTTAGAAACACCCCATTTCCAACAGTAACTCTGTTGTTGCTTGTGTACTCATTGTTAGGATAATGTGTTTACTGAACCATTGCCCAGATAATGGTCATTGTTTACAGAGTCACTGCTTGCCAACGGTCTGTACAGTCTGTACACTGCAGTTGTTATTATTTATAACTCTGTGAGTAACTGCTATGAGCAACAGGCTGTGTACCGTTGTTGATAAGATGATTAATGAATATGGAACAATTGGTGGAATGAGAATTGGCAGGGGAACTGAAGTACTCAGAGAAAACATGCTTCAGTGCCATTTTGTCCATCAGTAATCCCACATGATTTGACCTGGGATCGAATCTGGGCTGCCTCAGTGGAAAGCAGGCGACTGTCCACCTGAGCTGTGGCACAGTGGCACAGTCCTTTGGACTGTGCATCATGAAGTGTTTGGATGATAGTGAGTAATGAATTTTAAGGATGTGGATGGGAAAAGTTGTGGCCTAATTTAGGATGGACTGTGGATAGGCACAAAGATCTGTCTGGATAATCTGGGTCCTGGTCAAAAGTTGAAGCAGATATCTGGCAAATACAAGTTAGAAGTGTTACTGCTGGAGCCAGCTCACTTGGTGGGTGGTTCTTGAGTTCACTGTTGGTCAAATGGTTGGGAACCTCATACTGGAATATGTATCATTGTGTCATACTTGGGTCCCTGCACCTTGTAGGTTCTGGGTTGTTAATGAAGACCTTGCATGATGCAGAATGCTGTTCTGTCATACTGCATAGACCAGTCCTAGTACAGAGTACAGTGAAAATTTCCTTGGGGACTGTGGAACTGACTGGGTTGGTATAATGGTAATGCCCTTTGGCCGTAGTCAAGTTTGAAGCTTGTAAGAGCGCAAGCAACACTGGGATGTAAAGTGTACCCAGTAGAGGTAATTCTAGGCATGACTTGAAGTTGTCTCCTTTAAGTCATTACAGTGCAATGGCAATGCTCTAGACTTTTATATGGGGGATTACTTAGCTCAGATCCTGGTTCAGGCAGATTCCCGTGGCTGAGGTTTTTTGTGATTTACATCAGCCCTTCGATACAAATGCTGAGGTAGTACCGTGATTAGGCCGTGATTTCTTCCTTTAAAATCCTTTCTGAGTCATCTGTTTGTTTCTTAAAATTGTTAAATAACCCATAAAAATTGAGTTTGAACTGGAAAAGAGAAGTATAAGACCATAAAAGTTGAACAGCAAAAATAAGAAATTCTGTAACTAGTGATTCACACTTCAGGTCCAAAGATTTTTTGTTGGTAGTAATCATTTGTTTCAGCACAAAAGATATCACCAGAGGGGAAACCAAAAATCCAACTTCAAGTCTGCCTTCATGATGGATCTTCGTCGACATTTCATTTTGTAAATCGCTTGGGACAGGGAGCTCAGGTGAAGGACCGGGACGATGTTAAGGAACTTCTGCAGCAACTTCTACAGAAATTCAAATGTGAAATCAACAAGGAGCTAGAAGAGAAGAATAGGTGTGTAGTATGGCCTTGTTGAATTGTTCCTACAGGATTATTATTTTGGAAGTTTGTTTTGATACATTCAGGGAAGATGCAATTAAACTAGAACTGTCAAAATTTGGTTGTCACTTAGAGATGTCTGATCTGAGGGCCATTAACAAAGGACTGATGCAGACTGTCTACTGCTCACGGATGGTTGACAGGAACTTTTTCCATTATGCATACTGCCTGACAGTACTGTTTGTACCAGTCATGGATGGATGGCTTAGAAGGCGGATCCACTCATCACTCTGTTCAATGGCATCTTTGCCCTCATTTCACAGATTTGGTTTTTTAAACCATAGGACACATTTTGCTTTTTCTACATGTGTTTTTTTTTTCTTGACTGTAGTGCCTGTAACAGAGAATTATTGTAACTCCATGAGCATGCTTTGATTATGGATTTGAGAGTTGTGCTAACACTCAGATGCATTGTCTTTTATTATTGCATCGCAATAAATTTCTGAATTTGTACAGATCTTTTGTACTTAAATTGTATTTAGAAATATTTTGTTGATGTTCGAATACTCTGGCAGGGTTTGAGAAGGGGAATGTTAAGTGCTTTTAAGTTTTTTCCTCTCATATTTATTTTTTCTAAGTATTGCATTAGGGAAGTACTGTAAAAATGTGTTTCAGGCAAGAAAACTAGGATTGAAAATTTAAATACTCATTAAAATTCAAACTAAATTAGGTTGTTATAACTCATGTGCCATTTGTGAACAGTTGCACCTTTGAAATTATTCCAAAATAATCCAGTTTTCCTCTGGAGGATTCTCTTGGAAAAAGTTTCTTGGTGTAAAACTCTCCTATGATCCATTGAATTGCTCATTGCTCTGTTGTCACTTCATGAGGCAAAGTTTAGTCACACAGGACCCTATTTGCACCAATGAGTGAATGTATGGCAAGTTTAGTGATCAGATCTTTCCAAGCCAAATTTAGTGTTCAGTGTATTATTTAATGCTGAAGGTTACACAAGCTCTTCTGCTGTACATTTAATATATGTAAAAAAAAAAAAAGTAAAGCTATCACTGTAACAGGCCATGCAAGCCCATAGGGTTGTGAGACGTTGAGGGTTTCACATTATCTAGACAATCGGTTCAAAGATGGTGATAAGGTTGTCAGCCTTACGCGCCAGCCGCGCTTTACTCCCCAGGAAAATTATTTAATTAATTCCTTGTACTGATTTCTGTTAGAGGCTGAGTTGTCCCCAGGGCCATAGTGCGGCTGGAAGGATTAGGTCAATTGAAAAAAATCCCAATGACCTCATTGGGACTTGAACCCACGACCTTCCGTCTTGTAGCATAGTGCCTCAACCAATTTAATATATTGTCACGTGTTGGGTGTATAACGCGACAAATAATTTCACGCCTTATTGGATATAGCGAATTTTATTTCACAGTTGCTCTTACAATCACACAGTTTACAAGCTCAACATTACTGCCATCGGCAGTATCATAAATATTAGGCTGCAGGTAACTGGTGACTGATTCTCTGGTTAACCCGTAACTCATAACTGCTGCTCTTGAGAACTGTCTTCTGCGGCTGTGTCACTTTAGACTCGTTCACTGCTGACTGCCGGCTAACTAACTTGAAAACTATCGTCGGCGGCTGTGTCGTTCCCTTGTATAGTCGCAGTGTGTGCCTGTTACGTAACGTATACTGCTGTTGGGAGTTGTTTATGGATACGTAGCAATTGCGGCATTGCGTGTTACGTCACTGCGGGGAGAGGGGCGGGGTGTTGACTTGCCTATTACCATAGTAACGACAGCGCTATGATGCCGCCACATACCGCTGGGGAGGGAGGGGTGTCCTCCATTATGCAACACGTCACACTGCTCCCTCCTTAAGGCTGTTCGTCCTGAATGGCCTAACGGTGTACCCCCGTTCCTTTGCTTTGGAGGCTGTTCTTGCAGCATCATCTTCTTGTTTCGGCTACTCCTTGTAGCGACTATTCTCTGGCTGTTACAATGTGCATTATGTAATTTAAGACTTTCTCACACCTCTAAACAAATTCATCATCAGTAACTGTGCACAAGATTGTGGTCATGAAGGATCCTATTTATATTTGACAAGATTAATAATTTTTAGATGCAGATCATTTTTAAAGATGGTCTGAACAGGACAAAACATTTAGGGCAAATAAAACTATACTATACACAAGTTGTTTTTTGTGGTAAATTAATGATTTTACTTGTCACCAAATACATGGGCATGATAACTTTAAGTCAATATGTATGTTACGTGATAACTTACTAGACGTTAGTAAGGGGGTTGATCTGAAAGTAAACACAGAGAAAACTAAGTACATGTTAGTGCCTCCAGGCCAAATTAATCATGTAGATAGCTAATAGATCAGTTGAATACTGACAAAGGTCAAATACTTCTGAATGACGCAAATCAAGATTGTATTCATGAAGAAATTGAGAGCAGATTAAATTTGGACAATTCTTGTTATCATTCAATTCAGAATCTTCCATCCTCCTGTTGTCTAAATGCATACAGGTCAACTTGTCCCCAATATTAATTATTTAAACACTATACCATGAAGACATGGCGGGGGGGTGGGGTGGATGTATAGGTCCCATATATTCTTGATCTCAGCACTAGTTGGAGATGAGTGGTCTGCTTCTAAAGATTAGAATAGGTGAAGCTGTAATATTGTGTGTAGTTTTATATTGGTGGTCTCACACATTAAAGAAAAATACAGACTGAGGGTGTTTGAGAACGAGTGGTAAGGAGATTATTTGGACCTGATGGATGGAGTAACAGGAGGATGGAGGAAGTCGCCTAATGAGTGTGATTGTAGTTTGTACATCTAGCCAGATATGATAATAAAACTGAGGAGGATGAGATGGGCTGGGCACATAGCACACATGGGAGCTAGGAAAAGTGTTTGTAACATTTTGTTGGGAAAAATGAAGTGAAGGGAAAGGAGCCACTACAAAGAAACCTAAATGTAGTTGGGATAATATTAAAATGTATTGTCACGTGTTGGGTGTATAACGCGACAAATAAGTTCACGCCGTTGTCCCAATATAGTGAATTTATTTCCTTCGCTCACTTACACACACTTTACAGACATTTACATTTGCAGTGTTACAATCACTGCTCACAATATTCGGCGAGACACTGGACTCTCTTCTCCGATGGACGATCCGAGACTTTATTCTCTGAAGGGTGATCCGAGACTTTATTCTCCGAAGGGTGATCCGAGACTTTATTCTCCGAAGGGTGATCCGAGACCGACTTCTTCGAATGCTATTCCGAGACGCACTCTTCTCGCTGAAGCTGGGCTATCTATAACCTTGCCCGCTGTTAGGCAACGAACCCTCTGTTATAACCATGGAGACTCCTGTTAGAATTACGATGGAGCAATTGTTGTCTCCTCTGTAACGGTCTGTTGTAGCGTTTCCATAGAAGTTACTCCTCTGGTTTGCCGACACGTTACAGTATTTTAAGGGAACAGAATTGAGGGTGTAAAATAAGGTAAAGGTATCTCCATAACAGGCTGTGAAGGCCCATAGGGTTGCGAGACATGAAGGCCCCCACATTTTTCTGAACAGTCAGCTCACAGATGGCAGTGAGATTGCCAGCTTTACATGCTGGCTTCCCTTTACCCCCAGGAAGTTTCCTGGTACTCATTTCTGTTAGAGGTTGAGTTGACCCCAGGGCCATAATGTGGCTGGAAGGATTAGGTCAATTGAAAAATCTAGTGGCCTCATTGAGAATTGAACCCACAACCTTCTGGCTTGTAGCATAGTGCCTCAACCAACTACACTATTGCATGCCCCTGAATTGAGAATGTAGATTGGATTTGTCTGGCTCAGGATAGTGATCAGTTATGGGCTTTTGTGGACATGGTAATGAATATTTAGATACCATAAAATTCTTGTAATTTTCACTAATAGCTTAGAAGCTGTTAGCTACTCAAGAAGGGGCTGGATTTCTTGGAGTTAGTTAGTTAGTTAGTTAGTTAGTTAGTTAGTGAGGGACTTATTTTCTGTGATATTCTTCCTTCAGTACATATTTCTGACTTTTGGACCCTTTCTCTGTAAGGATTGCCTCTCCCTTTTCTAGATATATACTTTACAGAACCTGTTACATGGTGTAATGATTTTCAGGCTGCTGTCTGAGAATCCGTCACTCCTGCAGCTGTATCGTGATCTGGTCATGACGCATGTGATATCATCTGAAGAATTCTGGTCACAACATGCCTTGCAGTATATGCAGAAACATCAAAGTCAGAAACAGGATATTGGAGTATCAGGGGCATTTCTGGTATGTTTTGGTTTCCAGAAATCACAGTATTGTATATTTATCTGTTCAGTTGAAATTTGTACAAGGTATTTTTCAAAGGAAGTTGGTTGTTCCCCGTGTTAAACAAATAGTTAAAATAACTCAGTACAGCATGTTTAAGCAGTTCAGCATGAGGTAGTGTAGAAGGTGATTCATTTGGAGGATTCCTTGCTTTTATAATTAACAAGTCTTGCAATAATGTGACAGTGAAAATAAAACTTTGCAACACTGACCTGGTGGTTCCCTGGTTTGTGCCATTTCCTTCAGCCTGATTCCACATGTTTTGCAATGAAATATATACAGACTTTAAATGTTGTGTCAGCCTCTGTCTCCAGCAAGGAGAATAATTTAAAATATTGTGTGCCGCCAGAAAGAATGGTTGAGGAGATCAGGGTTGAATTCCTAGTCAACGAGCAACGTTCCCACTACAATGGTTAGGAATCTGAACGCTAACCCGCCAAAGTTAGCTGCAGGGTGGCAAGGAAAGTAGAAGGAATGGACCCAGGGCAGGGATGGGTGCTGGAAGAAATATGTCGCTGCCTGCGGAGGGATGACCCGCTGTGCAGTAGTGGCATGGCAGAAGGGACACATTGTTGGGAAGAATCAGACTAGGAACAGTGTTGCAAGAGGAGGCCTGACAGGGCACACGTTTGGGAAGAGACTTCAGGTGGATCCAGAGGGCAGCACTGGAGTGAAGGATCCACACACAAGACGGCGGATGCATCTTGGGAATAAGAGGACAACCAGCCAAATCTTCGGGAAGACCTTGAAAATGGAGATCGTGAAGCGAATAGCTGGATCTTCTGTTGGGTTATGAAAGATCAAGGATTGAACACTGTGGAGGGGTTGGCCCCCTCCAAAATGAAAAAGAAGCAGGAAACGGAAGGAGCTGGTAATGTAGAAGCATCAGCCTCACCAGGAAGAGTGAGAGAACGAGTGAAAAATGACGAGAACATGGAGTGACTGGAAGTACCATGGAGATGCTCAGGATGAGCACCCTTGAAGGAGTGGTGGATGAAAGAAGGGGAAATGCCGGTAGGTTGTTCGGGATGAACAACCTTTAGGAAGGAGCAATGTGGCATGCCGCAAGAAAGCTGGAATTGTTGAGATCAGGGTTGATTTCGTAGGCAACGAGCAATGTTCCCACTACAACGGCTAGGAATCAGAATGCATAGATTGCTATAGAGCAGCTAGCAATATCCAAGCAGTGAATTGTTCATGGCATAACAGCAGGCAGAATTAACCCTTCAACAAGGTATTCCCTATTGAGTCCAAGGAAAAGTTATAACAGTCCAATGTCAGGCAGAGACCACCAGAGTTTGTATCCGACTAGAACAGAAGAGTTCTTATCCGATAAGGGGCCGAGAAAAGTTGAGCTCCCAGCAGAAACCACTTCACCAAGAATAGCAGTGTGAGAGTGTTGATTCTGTTGATCAGGAACTTTGATGAGTGTTCCGCAGAGGCAGGGTTCCTTTCTTTCCCTATAAGTTCTTGCTGACATACATGTCACATGCTTCCCTGCCCCCCTCCTTGTTTCTCTTCCCTTCCTTAGGGTTTTCTTGAATGTTCTAAATTGCTGTTTTGGCCGCATAGCATGGCACCATGAGGAATTGAGCCCTCACAGCTATAGCAGGAAAGTATTTGGCTTGTGCGAGGTAAAATGATTTGGTTTGTTTACTTGATATTACCTAGGTAAATGATTGCATTCTTGCGTCGCATGTGTGATCTGTAATTATGTTTCATGAGTATCTTTTCTTTGGGCACGGGCTGTGCTAATCACTTGTTTGTATTGTATTATTTTTCTAATGCCAAATGGCATATCTTTTCATCTTGTTATAATATATATATATATTCTTACAAACTTGTGTGAGCTGGGCTTACTGATGACGTTATTCTGTCATGGTCTGACTAGTTATGAATTGCCTGATTCTTGTCTGGATTTATGTTGCCCTATTAACCAGCTGATCCCAAGGTATCTTTTCTTGAGATCCCTGCATCAACTTAGGGAGGCCTGTAACCCCACGTCCACAAGCAAGCTGTTCCTGTGGCTCCCCTCCTCTCGCTTCGTTTCGTTACGTAACCTACTAGGAGGAGGAGGATGGCTTAGTGTTGTAATGTTGAAGAAGAAACATCTAAAGGGTGTTATAAGTGAATAACTGTAAATGTTAGTGTAAAAGTGACAGTCCAATAAAGGTAGTCATTCAGATCTGAGAACCCACACAATTTCTTGTCATGTTTCTTTCCCAGCAAACATGCGACAATATGTTCTGTTACCCAGTTATCTCCATATTTACTAAGTATGTACTGGCCAAGTTTCATCGTTATTGGTGTATTGTTGTGTGATTTATAGTTTTTAATTCTGGACGCCCACCAAGTGAGTGAGTGTTTGGTTTTAGTGTTCATGTATTTTATCCTGGTGTCAAGGTTTTGCTATTGTGTACAGTAATACGAGTATGCTGATCTGAAGGTTCTGTACACATGCACACACATGGGCACTTGCATGCATGTGAAATAGAGGTTTTTAATTATATGGATCTGATTTTAATTGTCATTGCAGGCAGACATTAAACCTCAGACAGATGGCTGCAATGGACTGAAGTACAATCTTACAGCTGACATTATTGAATGTATTTTCAAGACATATCCAGCAGTAAGAAAGAAACATCTGGAATATGTTCCGCATAAGCTGACTGAATCAGAATTTTGGACAAAATTTTTTCAGTCACACTATTTCCATCGTGATCGTATTAATGCTGGTAACAAGGACTTGTTTACAGAATGCGCCAAGCTTGATGATCAAGGTATGTCATTTGAAATTCATGACATTTATTATGATTGCGTTTTTGTTATTCATGTCCGTTATTTGGATCAAATGTATAGCTTTAAGGATATTTGCTGTGACTCCATCTTCGGGTGAAAGCATAGTGCGTCTGCTTTTAGGTTATGTTGGTTCAACTTCTCAGGCTGGTAGGAGGTTGTACACCCATATAGACATGGATTTCCAAGTCCCTAAACTGATGACTCAGTGAGAGTTGTGAGACAGGAAAATATGGTCATGGGTCTAGCTGGGCCTAGAACCAAAAATGACTGTGCTATGACTTGGGTCATACATCAGCAGAATTCTTACTTCCTCCACCTATTGAGAAGCACTGAACTAATCTCATCTATGTGTTCAGTCAGCGAGCATTCAGAGTGCCATCTGTTTTTTGTGCCACATAATTTTACTGAAATATTTTTGATCTTGCATTTTCTATGTTGTATTTTTCAGTATGTGTTAATCAATATTGCTTGTTTTAATGAGGCATGTGTTAGTGATGCATATCATACAAGTTTGGAATGGAATCTTGATTAAGCTTCTTCTGATGGTTCCTAAAGTGAGGTTCTGGATGCTGAGAAAGGCTATACTCAGTTTAATGATAATGATTTCGACACTGTAGAATTTAATGTTCTTTAATTCAAAGGTTTTCTCCACTATAGTATTCAGATTAAAAGATCTCAAGTCAATAATTTCAATGTAAAATATCCTCCATCAAGATTTTCCTTCATTTAATGTTCAAATCTACTTTTCCTCAATAAAATTCACTGTAATTATTTTCCAGCAGAAATACATTTCAGTGGTAGGGGGTGACCACATATAAATGTAAATAAGAGTTTTAGAAAGTTATTTGTGCTTTTTTTTATGAACACATTGTTGATTTGTGGTATGCTGAACAGTACATATTGAGTCCTGTTTTGAAGCCCAGTTCCAAGACTAGGAACTGTAACCCAGCAATTCGGGAAGGAACATGTATGATATTTGTTCTCTCTGTGCTGATGTGCACTATACAGAAGCCCACACATAAATATTACTTTTCCAAAAATGTCTTCTGGAGAATCTCATATTCATGCATTGATATGAGGTAAAGGCAGAAAGGTAAAGTTGTTCCTGTGTTTAATTAAGCACCACACCATGAAGACATATGAGGGAGTGAGTGGAGGTATAGCTCCACCATTCTTGACCTTAGCATTAGATGGATGTGAGTGGCCAGCTTCATGCCCCAGCTGCTTTACTTCTGGGGAAAGAGTCCCTGGAACCCAATTTACCGGACGCTGGGTGGGCCCCAGATCTTGTCTGGACACTGTGGGGAAAAGAAATATTCCTGCCAAGAACGTATCCCTGGCCATCTGCACTGTACAGAAACAGACACAATGTTTTCCCAAAGTTGCCTTCTGGAGGTTCCCTTCGTTATGCTGTGATATGAGCTAGGCTGGAACTGTGATAGCCAGCAGACATGCTGCTGAGACAGAGTACGGCACTGAATTTGATAAAATTGAAGTCGTCATATATTTTCACATTTAGTGTGTTCACATTATGAGGGAAGTTACTGTAATCATAAGACACCCCCACGTATTTAACAGTGTAGATGAATACAAACTGAGTATAAAGTTTGACTGAATCCATTATCATGTTATAAGTGTGAAGAGTTTGTGTAGATCAGATGCCAGTTGGATTGTTGTGAGAGAATTATGCATGAAGATGTGGTAACTTTAGGTTTGTACTGACATTGGGGAGAGGGGGACTGTAGTCACCCCAGATCTCATTATGACCCTACAAAGAGCCCTGAAGAATGTGCTAGAGCCAGAACCATTGTGACAAGCCCTTCTGATATCAGAACTTTGTGTGGGAGGTCCAGTGATTTCTAGTTGGTCAATAACAAGGTGTGTGATGGCATGTGCTAAAATCTTCTGGGGCAGTCATCTATGTCAATGTTGAGCCAAAAACCAACATTTTGAAGATCTCTGTCTTCATCATCAGAATCAGTGTGGTGAATGACTGTATGTCACTGATATACAGAGGGCTCCAAAAAAATATACTCACTCTTTGATAGTCAGTATCTTTTGAACAAAATGACATGTAGTTAAAATTCTTGTGCAGAGAGAGAGAGAGAGAGTCGTATGTGTTCAAAGTGGCCACCATCAGCGGCTAAATAGCGTCGATGCCACCGAATGTTGAGCGAACTACAGCTGTCAGTGTGTCCGGCGTGATGGCTGCACACGCCACTTTGATGGTTTCTCGTAGTGTCTTCAGTGTAGCTGGCTTTTGTCAATAAACTTCATCCTTCAAGGTTCCCCACAGGTAGAAGTCGAGAGGTGTTCGGTCTGGAGACCGTGGTGGGTACTCAGCAGCACCTCTTCGACCTATCCATTGTCCAGGTAGAGTGTCGTCCAAGTACGCCTTGACATCTCGATGATAGTGAGGTGGAGCACCATCTTGTTGTAGGTAAAATCTCTCATCTCCAAACAGCTCTCGAATGGAAAGGAAGATCGATGTCTGAAGCATATCGAGATACACCTGACCAGTGTTGCAACACCACAGCGCTGGAAGCTGGACTTGTTACTATTTGTGGTCGCCCAGATCTTTGCTTATGCATATCATGAACAGTACCATTGGCTTCAAATTTATCCCGAATTAGGACAGTTTTTTGACGTGTTGGTGGCTGAGTTCCAAACTCATTCTGTCATTGTCGTTTAATGTTTTCGTACTTCCAGTAGCTCTTCAATACAGCCTTGCGTTGCTCAAAGAACAACCTTTCAGCCATTGTTGCTGCTGTCTTCTGCTCACAGCACGCACGTGGCACAACACTCACGTGACTCATGTGACCTTTGCCGTCTGTTGAGAAAACATTACACTACATTACCACACAAGAATTGTAACTACATGTCATTTTGTTCCAAAGATATTGACTATCACTGAGTACATTTTTTTTCGACCCTCCTGTTTGTACCAACATGTCAGATTGATGTCTCTTCCTGTTGGTGTACAATGCTGCAGGAAGGCAGAGTCATTATGTGGTCGTGTCGCTTAACTTGGTATCCCTGTTGTCAGTTGTTTTGTTTTGTTTATGGCACACACTTCCCTATGTTTGACTTTGGATTTTTCCTGATCTCTGTATGTTGACAGATCAGGAAAACCCCAAGAAGACACAGGGAGGAGCACATGACAAAGGAAACAAAAAAGTAATTTGTAAGATTTGAGGTTTTCACAGTGGTGACTCTGAAGAATGCCATCTTCTGGGATGTGGCACCTTGTAGATCTTGTGTGAACTGACGTTTTGGAGGAGGCGATATTTTCCTCCGAAACGTCAGTTCACACAAGATCTACACAGCGCCACATCCCAGAAGATGACATTTTTCATTTATTTATTTATTTTCTATGTGTTAGGATAATTCCTTCTCCTGTTCACAAGTTATGCACATAGCATTTCTAAGAGGTCCATAACATGTAGGTGCCATCTCAGGGTACAGTTTGCCAGTCAGCAATCCTGATACCAGTCTAAACTGTTTCCTGTCCAAAGGCAGTAGGACCCTAGACAGTTTGTCCAGAGGCCCTTCACTGAAGAACTTCAGTTGTCTCATACCCAGTGCTCCAGCCCAAAGTTCTGAGTGCCTCTGTTTAACTGTGGGCCTACGAACACATGAGCCATAAAACTGGCCCTAGCACTGTGACCTTCAATGATTTATTGTGCTTTACCAATGCATGGTGAGAGAACACATCAATAGGACAGAAAAATATGAATATAGTCCCACAGGACTTGGAACCAAGAATAACTGTGCTGGCTAAGACCAGCAGCAATTTACCTAATGAACCAACATGGTGAGTTTCTTGGATTGGCTTCATGTTATATTATCTTAATCATCTCATTCTGTGTCAGCAACACTGTCACTACACAAATAATTTTCATATAGACTGTCACTTTCCCCTGAAGTGCTATGTATTTGATTCTTTTTGTGAGACTAAGCCATCTTATACTAAGTAATATGCATGTACAATTTGCCCAATACATCACCAAATTAAGTGAAGAAAGTTACTGAGCATAAAGAATGGTTCTTCCCTGATGACTTTGGCTAGAAATCAGGATATACTTGATCAACATTTTGTTGTATCCAGATGTGAGAGGGAGCTTCACTGTACCCATTGCAGTGATTAGAAATTATGTTCTAGAGCTGAGGAAGGAATTATTAGATCAGCCACCAAGTCACCTGGTGCTGAGCGGGTTAAACAGGAGTAATTGTAGACACTCAGTCTGAATCATTCATGCATAAATCAGGTACAGATTTTAAACTTGAACTTTGAATATTGAACTTCAATGATATTAGATTCAGTGTGAAAAGGTAAAGCCATCCCTGTAACAGGCCATGGAGGCCCATAGGGTTGTGAGATGTCGAGACTCCCACATCTTCTAGACAGTCGGCTCACAGATGGCTGTGAGGTTGTTAGCCTTACGCACTGGTCGCCCTTTACACCCAGGAAGATTCTTGATAGTCGTTTCTGTTAGAGGCTGAGTTGATCCCAGGGCCATAGTGCAGCTAGAAGGATTAGGTCAGTTGAAAAATCGAATGACCTCGGGAATCAAACCCGCGACCTTCTGGCTTGTAACATAGTGCTTCAACCAACTACGCTGCTTCATTCCCTTTATGTTCAGTGTCATGGCCAAAGTTGAATGTCCAGAATTGTTCTGAGGTATTGACAAGCTCATATACTACGATTCCAATGTCAACTGCAGAGCATAATTTTCAGCATTTGCAAGTCTAATCTTAAAACATCCTGACATCAGAGTGACATTAACTTTCAGATGAATAGTTGTATACCTCTCTAGGTCCTTCTATTCCAGCAAATGGAACATTATGGAATTAGATATGTAGGTTGTGTTAGGATCATGAAAGGAATATTTAATGACTGAAGATTTTAATCTGTAAAAAATTAAGATTTGTATATAACCTGTTATTTGTTCATGTGTGATTGTTCATAATATATAAATGGAACGGCAAGTATTGGAACAGTAATATACCATTTAACACAGCTCTGTATAATGCCAGTTCATTGTAATGTTCTTCATTCTGGGTCCTTTTATTGTAAGAAAATGAACTGATGGAAATGAAACAGTGGGATCCTCTTGCCTAGAGTGTAAATGGTCTACAACAGCTGATGGTGTTATGGAAGGAAAATTAACCACAACTTTATCATCATGTTTTGTGAAAAGATCAGTGGTGCAGTGGATATTGTAAGTGAAAATAGATCAAATTGTGAACATGGCACCAAAACTAAGAGAAGTGTTTATAGAAAATCTTTAGGCAAAGCAGCCAACTCTTGAGGTATTCTCAGCTAGAAAGCTGACAATGGTAACATGAGCTCCAGATGTGCCCATCTTCGAGGACAAAGCCATTTTTTATACATTATAATTTATCTTCTACAATTATTGTTTTTTTTGGGGGGGGGATATCCATCCTGCTTTTTATTTAAAATGTTTTGGAGACTGAATTCTGTCTCTATCTTTAGGTAAGAACCTAGTCGTTTGGACACAATCGATAGAGATAGTCCCTATCTCTGAAAATAGGGACTAGCTCTATCAGTTGGGCCCAAATGACTAAGTTTACCGGAAGATGTAGACAGAATCCAGTCTCCGAAATTTTGTGTTTTAAACATGAAACAGGATGATAGATATTGTCCAGAAACAGTAATTGTATCAATATACCATTGATACAGACTCTTAGATCTTAATTTCATTTCTATTTGGCTGTTTTATATATTGTATAATCGCAATCAATTACTATTTTTAAGAATGCATTCTCATAAGTGATATGCTAGAATGTCCAGTTAGAGGTCACATTTGAACACATCCCAAAGTGTTAAACAGGTTGTGACTGTAGAAGATAAATGTGTTTTCTCCTCAGAGTTGAAGAAGGACATTTCTGCTGGAATTGAAGATCCACTAGTTGACATCACTTCATTTGAAGATAAAACTTTGGATGAAGGTTATGGAACTGGTGGAGACAGATCATGTGGCATACAGAGTGGAAACATTGTACATCAGAACATGATCAAACGGTATGCAGAGGGATGTGGGACACTTGGCTTTGAATTGATTTTATTTCAGAACTCATGTATGTGGGTCCACAGCATCTGTAGTTAACTTAGGAGTGAACTGTTGTACTATGTTCAGTTCAATTTGGTATGCTTGAAAGTAGTTACGTTAACTAAAATATGTTTGAATGAAGCCTACAGTAAAGTCCACTTCGGTAAATGCAAGTCTTATTCAGAATGGTTTGAAACAAGGAGATGATTTTTCACCATTGCTTTCAGATTTTTTTGGAGTATGCCATTAGGAAAGTCTAAGATAAAACCTGGTAGGATTGAAATTGGAATGGGACACATCAGCTTCTGGTCTATGCTTGTGATGATAATTTATTGAGGATAATCCAAGTACCATGAAGAATAACAGAATCTCTTGTAGGTGATAGTGAGGGGATGGTCTAGAAGTAACTGTTGAGAAAATTTGTTGTGTTTTGTCTCCAGATTGCAGGAAAAAATCATAACACGAAGCCAGCTAATAGGTCCTATGAAAATGTCACAAAGTTCAAATACGAGGGTTGGAACTTTAATAGTGGTAACTATTTAGTTACAACTGATACAAAACAGATGCATGTTTCGAAGTTTTACTGTCCTTCCGTGTAGTCACCAGCATTGTGTACAACCCATTGCCAGCGATGTGGAAGTCGTAGGATGCCTTTAGCAGCACTTGTTGTGTTGATAGTTCAAATGGAGCGGTCTACTGCCTGAAGAATCTCTGGAACAGTTCTGAAGTGAATGTTACACAGTGGTTCCTTCATCTTAGGAGTCAAGTCGAAGTCACAAGGGCTTAAGTCTGGGGAGTATGGTGGACCTCCCCATATGGCACCTCCCAGCCCCATCGATCAAACAAATCAGCCACAGCTTGTGCTGCATGCAGCCAAGCATTGTCCTGGAAACTGATGGGTGGGTTCTGCAGAAAGTGTCACCATTTCTTTCTCAAAGCTGGTTGCAGGTTTTTCCAAAAATGAACAGTAATACTGTGCATTGACGGTCTGCTGTCAGGGAACGGTATGTGTTAGGATAACACCATCACAGTTTTACACGAGAATCACCATAACTTCCACATTGCTGGGGTTCTGACAAACTTTTTATGTTCGTGGTGACCCATAATGACGCCATTCGTTTGATTGGCGTTTCATTTGTGGCTCGTACGATTTGGCCCATGTCTCATCCAGCGTGTTGATATGGTGTAAGAACGCCTCCTTCGCGCTCATAGCGCTCCAAGTGGTTACAAGCAGTGTCATATTGTAGCCATTTCTGCATTTCCATCAAATCACGCGGAACCCATGGTGATGCAATTTTTCTCATGTCCAGGCATTCCTTCAGAATGTGAAGCACAGTCATATGCACTAATCCTGTCTCGGGCCAGCTCACGAATCGTATGGCCTCAATCACTCTCCAGTCACGTGGAAAGAGCATACACTTCTTCACTGACACTAGGATGACCTGGCTGACACATGTCTGCCACATTTTGGTGTCCCTCATTGAAAGCTTTTACCGACCTCGCCACTCTTCTGTAAGGCACTGCAGATTTCCCACAAGCCTCTTGAAGACCTTGATGACACTATTGTGCTGTACAGCCTCTGGCACATTCATTCTTAACCAACTCCATTGTTTCTGTTTTGTAAACTTTGTGACAATACTACATTAGACCGCCAGCTAACACAAGGCTCTGTTCTTTTTGTCATTGCGCATGCATGTGATGTGGGAAGGGAGAGTCCATTTGCTCTGAGGTAAGGTAGGTATATAAATAACGTGTGGTATAAGCGACATTATTTGGTTCCGTTGCATGGTGTCTCTACAGCAGTGTTGCCACTATTAAAGTTCCAACCCTCGTATTTGGCAATTATGCCGATGCATCAAAATTTTATCCATAAGGAAATCAAGAGCAGATCAGATTTTGGACAGCAGTTGCCACCATTAGTTCAGAATCTTCTGTCATCCCATCAGCAATGTAAAGACAAAGATTAAAATACAGGAGACTACAATTTTTCTTGTCGATTTGTGTGGGTATCAAACTTGGTCTCTCAACACTGGAGGAGGAACATAGACTGAGGGTGTTTAAGAATAGGGTGCTGAGGAGAATATTTGGACTGAAGGTGGAGGAAGTAACAGGAGGACGAAGTTGCTTAATGAGGAATGTAATAGTTTGTAAATCAAGCAAAACATTAAGAAGAAGTAAAGGAAGATAGGATGGGCTTTAGTATGTATCATGCATGGCAAAGAGAATTGTGTACAAAATTTAGGTTTGAAAATAGGATGAGACCACTACGAACACCTAGGCATAGATTGGAGTAAAAGTAAGTAAAGGTATCCCTGTAACAGCCCATGGAGGCCCATAGGGTTGTGAGATGTTGAGGTTCCCACATTTTCTAGACAATCAGCTCATAGATGGCGACAAGGTTGTCAGCCCTATGCGCCAGCCACCCTTTACTCCCAAGAATATTCCAAGAATATTCCTGGTACTCATTTCTGTTAGAGGCTGAGTTGACCCCAGGGCCATAGTGCGGCTGGAAGGATTAGGTAAATTGAAAAAAATCCGATGACCTCATTGGGACTTGAACCCATCACCTTCCGGCTTGTAGCATAGTGCCTCAACTAACTACGCTACCGCGTGCCCCATATAAATTGGAGTGTAATATTAAAATGAATCTTATACATGCTGAATGAGAGGGTGTAGACTAAATCAGTTTAGGTCAGGGTAGGGACCAGTGGCCAGGCTCTTACAAGCATTAATCAGTCTTCAGATTCGGTAAAGTTCTGGGAATATCTTGAGTGGTGGAGCAGCTGTTGGTTTCTCAAGAAGGACTTGGTTGCCTGCAGTTGATATGTTTGGACAGTTATTTGTAAAATGTTCCTTCAAACCATTTTTAGAAATTTGTAATGTTGTAGCTTTAGAGTACCAAGCTGAGGTTTCCAATATGCAAATAAGGGAAGTTGGAGTTAGCACAGAGGCAAACACAGAATTTGTGTAAATTCCTTGTATATAGTGAAGTCCAACTCTTTACTACATGTCCTTTGTTATCACAGTATACTTACTGGCAAGATCAAGTGAAACTCCCTCTTTAAATTTTCTGTATAGAGCAGTGAATTTGAACAGTAAACTGAGGAAATTCAGCATTGAGATTAATGACTTACGTTCATTGAAATTGGATGTTGAGTGAGGGAAGAACTTATAAACGGGAGTTCCATTGTTTGTCTGTCCATACGATCAAATTGTTCAGAATCAGCTTTACCACTATCAGTATCTTATAATTGTTATTTTTGTACTGACATATACAGCAAGTGACTCAAGTGACTTAATGCCTAAAATAAATGTACTGATCATGGAAGACATTTATTTACAGTCTTAATTTTAACAAGGTTTCTAGATATTTGTTTTCAAAGACTAAACTGAAAACCTGAATATTTCAGAGGCCTAACTAACCTGCTAAAATGAAAAACACACACACACACACACACAGAAGCCTCTATATTCTAAGGTTCAGTACTGATGTGGTTGACGGTATGGTTGTAACTTTTAAGCTAGTTGAATCAGTGTTTAATACATAAGCATGTTGTTAGTGTGGTTCTTGTCACTGCAGCCATTGTCATTGAGGTTACAGTGGAACTTTGAGTTCACATTTTCTAAGGTTCTGCCCAAAACAAATGTAAAATCAGGGAAGTGTGAATGTTCCAACATAAAGGAATCTGTGATCTTTACATCATAACTTTGGGAAAATCATTTAAAATATGTGTGTTTGAACACTAACAATTGGTTTATTTTACAATGCCTTGTAAACTGATGCATTTGTGTAACATAAGTAAGACGAGGTGGTGATTATAACTGGTGAATGGAAAGGATGTGGAAGTGGTGATGGCCCACTTCAAGGTACTGTCCCAGCATTTGCCTGGAATGACTGGCAAATATGGTACATGCCTATTTACACTGTTTCTTCAACCAGCCAGTCTTTTGTTTCTTTTCTCCTTGAGCTGTCACTCTGTATAATTTGCTTTCAACTTTGCTGCACAATACAGTAACACTGTTCTTGGTGTGAAACTGACCTGTGTATTTTCTGGTTGCTTCCAGTCCTGTCAGTGCATCCAAGAATGTTGCTTTATGTTCTGCAACTTCCTCTTCCTCTTCTTGTTCTTCTGGCCTTGCCAAATGTTGATCTAACATTATTGTTATGGGCATTTGGCTGGGACCATGCCAAAAGTGCATAAATTCATGAAAAACAAAAAATCTTAGTTCATAAAATCAGAGTTTCACTCTATTACTATTATTGTTACTGTGAAACCTCAGTGGTTTTAAGGAAGTATAACTCCTTTGTTCCATTTAGGTTCAACCAACATTCCATCATGGTTCTGAAGGCGTGTCAGCAGAATACATTGTGCCACTCTGGCTCAGAACGACTTGAACAATCAGGGGTACCTGAGAAACAAGCAAGCCAGTCAAATGAAAGCAGCCCTGGTTGTAGTGATCACCTGCATACTGCTAAAAAGGTAAATAAGTATTTTCATAATTTGATAGCATATACAACAATTTGTATCATGTTTATTACAGTTCGGAAGGATAAGTAAGGTAAAGTTGTCTCTGTGCTTTATAAATCAAGAACTACTCCATGAAGATGTGTGGGGGAATGGAGGTGTAGCTCCACAATTCTGGACCTCAGCACAAGAAGGAAGTGAGTGGTTAGCTTCACAATCTGGCTGCTTTACCCGCGGGGAAAGAGTACCCATTGGATAAGGGACTGGGTGGGCCTCAGAGCTGGTCTGGACACTGTGGGGGAAAGTAGCCTTGCCTCTGCCAGGAATTGAACTCTGGCCATCCAGTGCATAGCCCATTGTTATCCTAAGTGACCTGAAGTATGGTGGTGTTAAATGTAGACTCAGAGAGTTTTGAGAACGTCTTCTGTTTGTGTGTAATGAAGTTTACTGGTATTTTGGATGGAGGTACCACTTTTGTCTTGATGATTGGTAATGCTGTACAAGATGGCATGGTGTTGCATCTCAGAAGATAATCACCACCAGCACAACCTCAGATATCATCAGGAAAACCATAAAATAAATTTATTACTGTGTACTGGTGTGCAAATGCAATGTAGGCATCTGTTTCGGGGAACAAAAAAAAAAAACTATCCCTATAACAGGCCCTGGAGGCCCATATGGTTGTGAGACTTTGAGGTTCCCACATTTTCTAGACACTCGATTCACAGATGGCAGTGAGGTTGTCAGTTGTACATGCCAACCACCCTTTACCCCCAGGATGGTTCCTGTTATTCATTTCTCCTGGTGGGTTAGTTGACCCAAGGGCTGTAGTGCTGCTGGAAGGATTAGGTCAGTTGAAAAAATCCAATTACCTCATCGGGAATGGAACCTGCAACTTTCTGACTTGTAGCATGGTGCCTCAACCAGCTACTTTACCATGTGCCCCTTGTTTCAGGGAGTGTTTCAGGATTAACAAACAGGTGAATTATTGGGACTAGTTTTGTTGAGACCAAACCTTGCTTCACTGACTCAAAAAATATAAAGTAATAATGTTTATATATGAGGTAATATTGTAATGGTGAACTGTGGAATTGTGGTAGTAGTGTCAAGACTTTGGAGTGTGAATATTCCCTCTTGACTAGATGTGATGATCATATTATTTTCCTCTGATATTGGTCTGACTTTTGTAGTATATAGGATATGAAAATTTTGTTTAAAAAATTATACAGGTATTTTTGTCTTCATTGCTATTTAAATCCCCTGGGCCGGGGTAGCTGGCGCACGCAAGGGTCCTACTTTGAAGGTGGTTAGGTAAGCGTTGCTGTATGTCCTATCATTAGAGTGCTATACCACCATTCCGGGAACTTTTTGATGGCCCCTCGTATATGCTTAATATGTGAAACTGTTTAGATGGTGAGAAAATTCAGTCTCAACATTTTGATGGATTTACACATTTTTAAAGCCGTGTATCCAAAAATGATGTGTTTGGAACACTGTATGCATGTTTGTATGTGTGTGTGGATGTGTGCCTTGCTAGCACCTGAACTGTTGGAAGGATTTTATTCAAGTCTGGTATTGAGAGTCATAGGTGTGTTGTGAATGTGAACATCCTGGCTCTAAAATGGGGACCCGTCACATGGGCCACAAAATAAAATGGCAGTTTTCCTGGAAAACACATGTAATGGTTTTGATTAAATTTAAGTAAGTATGGAGACCATATCCCAAAATAGAACTGCAAAAGTGACATATGCAGGACTAGGAGCCAAAATGTGAAATTTTGATTTCATCAAAACTGACTTTTTTGGTCACACCAATTTCTTTGTTGTTTGGTATTCAGTAACGAACAGTGTGACCTCCTGCATCACAATCAGTTTTGTTTCCAGGGTAATGTAGTCAGGGTCAGTCATATGTGGAAAGGATGTCCAATTCTTTGCAGTGATTTTTCCTTTTCTGACCTTCTCCTTTATGACTTTATGATAGTCAAATTATTGTAACCATTTAGAGTCAAGGATATTTCAGTTGGTTTTTCTGCAGTGCCAGTAGGGAGATAAACACTTAGAGACCATATTTGCTAGATTGTAATACTGTTTCTGTCAATTAACTGAAAACGTTTTTTTGTTGCTGTCTGTGAGTATTAATATTGTAACGTGTATAGGCACTGAAGATGCCGTTCGAAATGTTAATTGGTTTATTTAACAACCTACAAGTCGTAACTACAATTGATTAGAACACTGTTGCAGGGTTTCACACTTTATAACCCCGTTTGCAATAATCTGTCCACTCTGTCCTCAGTAGTCTACACGTATTCACAGTACGGGAGCTATATAAGTGTCACTGTGTTACACACTCCCAATTACTTCTCAGTTATCACAAACTATCCCTGATTATCACACGTGTCCAGTTCTTCTTTCTGTGACTGCTGCTATACTCCAACTGTGTTGCTCTGGCTCACCACTAACTCGTTCACTGCTGACTAACTCGTAACTTAACTCGTAGGCTGCTGCCTTGAGAACTGTCTTCGTAGGCAGTGTAGGTCTCTTATAAACCCTCAGCCGGACAACGGGAAAACGCTTCGCTTACTTGTTGCCTAGTCGCCGTGTTTGCCGATAGCCTAGCAATGCTGCCGAGAGTTGTTTACAGCTACGTAGCAAGTGCGGCGTCCCGTGTTACATCACTGCAGTTTACTCGCTTTGCCTAGCAACCGCTGTGCTTGGACTCAGCTCACTTTGGCTCCGCTCGGCACGTCACTGCTGGCGGGGAGGGAGGGGCATCATCCATAGCGCAACATGTCACAATATTATTGGAGTATATGTGGTATTATCCTTTTAATTGTATATAAGCAGTGTAATGGAGAGTTGAAAGCTCTGAAATTACACATTTTTCAGTTTTGTAACAATGAATTGTTAAATGTTAGCACATTGCATGAACTTAAGTTATGTAGCAGGTACTTGAGTTTATTGTAGCTATTCTGTGAGTCAGATATTTTGATGTGAATATGTGAAGTGCAGTTCTCTGTATAAAGGAGATGATTTGCAACTGACTATTTGTGTATGTTACTCATTGGAGGAAAAAGAGATACAAATAGTTAATAGTGTGAAACCTTAAGTAATGAATGATGATGTGGATACTATGCTATTTATTTATAAATTGATCAAGAAAGTTTGTGTTGTTGCTGTTCCTTTAAAGTTGATAATGTTTGAATATATGAGGTTTTATGATTAATAATTATACTGAATTACAGTGAATAGAGAAAATCATAATGTAAAGGTAGCTAACGGATCATTTGAAAATGTGGAACAGTTCAAATATTTGGGAATGACAGTAACAAATGAAAATTTTGTTCAGGAAGAAATTAAGGGGAAATTGAATTCGGGTAATGCTTGTTACTATTCAGTCCAGAATCTTTTGTCTACTTGTCTGCTGTCTAAAACCATACAAATTAGAATATGCAGAACTATAACTTTGTCTGTGGTTTTGTATGGGTGTGAGACTTGGTCTCTGACATTAAGGGAGGAACATAAACTGAGGATGTTTGAGGACAGGGTGTTGAGGAGAATATTTGAACTGAAGAGAGATGAAGTGGTAGGAGGTTGGAGAAAACTGCATAATGAGGAGCTTCATGACTTGTACTCTTTGCCAAATGTAATTAGAATGATTGAGTCAAGGAGGGTGAGATGGCTAGGGCATTCAGCACACATGGGGGAGAAGAGGAATTCATGTAGGATTTTGGTGGGAATGCCAGAAGTAAAGAGACCACAAGGAAGACCTAGATATAGGTGAAAGGATAATATTAAGATGGATTTTAGAGAAATAGGATGGGGTGGAATGGACTAGATTGATGTGGTTCAGGATAGGGACCAGTGTAGGGCTCTTGTGAACATGGCAATGAACCTTCTGGTTCCATAGAATGTTGGGAAATTCTTAAGTAGCTGCATAGTTGGTAGCTTCTCAAGAGGGTCTCAACTCCATATAGTTAGTGAATTACATGTTACAAATATTATGTTTCTGGATATTATCCATCCTGTTTTTATTTAAAACATAACGTTTTGAAGACTGGATTCTGTCCGCATCTTCAGGTAAACCTCATTTGGACCCAGTCGATAGAGTTAGTCCCTGTCTTTGGCAATAGGGAATTCTCCATCAGTTATGCCCAACTGAGTAGGTTTTACTGAAGACAGACAGTATCCAGTCTCCAGAATGTTAAATTTTCAATAAAAGTAGAACAATGGGTAATGTTGAATAACATAATATTTATATTAATGTATCATCATCATGAACTTTTAGATCATAATTACATGTTAGTTCATTAGTCTGAAAGAAGTGAACTGGTGTACTCCAGGTACAGGGAACTATGGATTAATATTTTGGGGGAACTCTTCACATAGTGTAATAATTTTTAAAATACAAAAGAATATAATTAGAATCATTACAGGATGTAGAAGTAGAGATTCATGTAGAGAATTATTTAAGAAATTAAAAATTCTACCTCTTCAATCGCAATACATATTATCGCTTCTCTTATTTGTTGTTTACAACAAAGATAAATTCAAATTAAATTCTGATGTCTATAACATGAATACTAGACAAAAATATAACTTCCACCTACCCTCATCAACTTTATCAGTATATCAAAAAGGAGTCTACTTTACTGGCATAAAAGTGTTCAACAATCTGCCACAAAGTATTAAAAACTTGGGCAATGATACTAGAAAGTTTAAATCAGAGTTAAAGAATTATCTTCATGCTCATTTCTTCTACTCTTTAGATGAATACTTCAATGTAAATAGAGAATGATGTAAAATTAAGTTATATTAATTTTTAAGCTAAAATTGCCTGTACTTACGTATGTAACCTTTTGACTTGTTCTGTATCCAAAGGTACTAACCTACTTAGGATTTATAGAATGTAAATAAATTCAATTCAATTCAAAAACACTTACAGACTTTGTATAGTCAAGGCAACACAGATGCCCACTGGGCAATTTGTAGTACAACAGCTGGATCGTTAATCCTATG